AATAGTTCCAGGGTTTCTTAGGTGGTGCAGGAGTTCACCCATCCGCGGTACGTCAACATCAAAATGTAAAATATGCTCTGAGACGACCCTTCTACTTCCCCTTTCATCCAGATTTCGGAAACTCGCAAAAAACTGGCCAAGGGGCGAGGAAATCGAGCCAAAACCCTTTCCCCCAGCCTACAACCCCCCATGAACGGAGGGTGAAGCCACATTCAGGACAAGGCCACACAAGACCTCCTTTGCTTTCGCCAAACTGGAGCATACAATTCTCAGATTTGATCCAAACCAATCGCAGAAAAACACTTTTCCGAGCCAGGGCCCAACCGCTTTTTCCCATGTCCAAACTCAGTACGGCAACCAAACAGCAGTTGGACTTCGGGTGCTTTGCTTTCCCTTTGGTTTCTGAAGGTACTTCTCCGATTTTCCATTTTTTCAACCCAAAACGGATATCCAATCATGGAAGCTGCTGGAAGGGGTTTGGAAGACGACTTGCGTTCCACTTCCTCGCATAGGCGGCCTTTTGGAAAAAGCGATGGGTTTCCCTGGTACATGGAAGACACCCCATCTAAACCAGTGGAACCCATCTATTCTCGATCAAACTAACCTAAAAAAAGGACACCTATGCTTCCACGCCCTTCGCAGACCCGTCCCGCCCCGTCCCTCCCTCCGTTCCGTCCGCGCGGCGTGCAGCGAGGGCGCCAGCAGCGGCCCCCAGCGGAAGCCGCGGCCCCGGGCGCAGAGAAACGCCCCGAGGCCGAGGAAGATGGGGCCCCGCGCCGGGCGCAGGCGCAGCACCAAGTCTTCCATGGCCCAAATGGCTGTGGGCCAAGAATAGGGTAACCCCAAAATGGCTGGCACTGGCAATGGAAAAAAGGACTAAAACATGTGTGTGTTTTTTGGTGGTTTAATTTTGACCCATACCCAAATGTCCCCCCCCTCCACGCGACTGCTTTAGGTGGATTGACAGGTGTTGAGGTTTTCGGGCTTAAGGCTTTGCCCCAAAACAAGAAGCAAGGAGTTGGATGTTGTTTTTGGTGGTTCTTGGTTTTGAGCCTCTTTCTTCTGGTTTCTGGTTTAAAGAAGCATCAGGGTAGCAAGTGGCTGGCGGATTTTTGTTTTGTTGAAGACACCCAAGGCATTTCTAGGCGACAAATCAACCACAGAACTGGGTTCAACCCTGTGAGCTTGTCTACCCCAGGGCGAGGATGGTTCAGGTCCTGACGCGTCGACCCAAAAAAACCCAAGGAGTGTGGATAAAAGGTCAAGCGTCTGGTCTGAACCATGATCCCCCCTTCAGGAGAACGGGAGTGCGGGGTCCCCAATTCCATTTCTCTAGTCTTCCAACCGCAAAAGGGAAAATGGAACCACAAGTGGAATTCCAGGGGTCACCCCCCCTCCCCAATTCCATTCCCGAAAGCATCGCGAAGGGTTCTTCCGTGCGGAGCCCTTGGACAAGTTACATAGAGCCAAGTTACATAGAGCCAAGTTACATAGAGCCAAGTTACATAGAGCCAAGTTACATAGAGCCAAGTTACATGAGCCAAGTTACATAGAGCCAAGTTACATAGAGCCAAGTTACATAGAGCCAAGTTACATAGAGCCAAGTTACATAGAGCCAAGTTACATAGAGCCAAGTTACATAGAGCCAAGTTACATAGAGCCAAGTTACATAGAGCCAAGTTACATAGAGCCAAGTTACATAGAGCCAAGTTACATAGAGCCAAGTTACATAGAGCCAAGTTACATAGAGCCAAGTTACATAGAGCCAAGTTACATAGAGCCAAGTTACATAGAGCCAAGTTACATAGAGCCAAGTTACATAGAGCCAAGTTACATAGAGCCAAGTTACATAGAGCCAAGTTACAGAGCCAAGTTACAGAGCCAAGTTACATAGAGCCAAGTTACATAGAGCCAAGTTACATAGAGCCAAGTTACATAGAGCCAAGTTACATAGAGCCAAGTTACATAGAGCCAAGTTACATAGAGCCAAGTTACATAGAGCCAAGTTACATAGAGCCAAGTTACATAGAGCCAAGTTACATAGAGCCAAGTTACATAGAGCCAAGTTACATAGAGCCAAGTTACATAGAGCCAAGTTACATAGAGCCAAGTTACATAGAGCCAAGTTACATAGAGCCAAGTTACATAGAGCCAAGTTACATAGAGCCAAGTTACATAGAGCCAAGTTACATAGAGCCAAGTTACATAGAGCCAAGTTACATAGAGCCAAGTTACATAGAGCCAAGGTTAGGTAGAGCTTAGAGCTTCGGCGTTAGCAGCTATGTAAGTTAGTTTAGGTTTCTAAGGCGCCGGGGCGGGAGTTTGATCGTCGCTCGGGATTGCGACCCTCTGCGGAGATTCGCGTGGTCGAGGTTCAAAAACTGTGGACTTTTTACGGTTTTTAGCATGCGCGCGCGACCCTCTGCGGAGATTCGCGTGGTCGAGGTTCAAAAACTGTGGACTTTTTACGATTTTTAGCATGCGCGCGCGACCCTCTGCGGAGATTCGCGTGGTCGAGGTTCAAAAACTGTGGACTTTTTACGATTTTTAGCATGCGCGCGCGACCCTCTGCGGAGATTCGCGTGGTCGAGGTTCAAAACTGAGGACTTTTTACGATTTTTAGCATGCGCGCGCGACCCTCTGCGGAGATTCGCGTGGTCGAGGTTCAAAAACTGAGGACTTTTTACGATTTCTGCATGAGCGCGCGACCCTCTGCGGAGATCGTGCGCGTCGAAGCGCTCTCGCTGTGGCGCCGTGCGAATTTGTCTTAGTCTCGGCGAACCCTCTGCGGAGATTGTGCGTGTCGAAGCGCTCTCGCTGTGGCGCCGGGCAATATTCTTGCTCGCGAAACGGCCTTTGGAAGTCGTCTCGTGGTTTGCGCGCCTGCTTTCGCAATCCCGCGGTCGCGGGTTCGATTCCCCCCTGGTCCGCGGCAGCTCCGGCTTGAAAATCGCAGCTTTTAAGTACAGACGTAGTGTGCGGAGCGTGCTCCCGCAGCTCAGGCTGGAAAATCGCAACTTTTAAGTGCAGACGTAGTACGCGGAGCACACCCCCGCAGCTCCGGCTGGAGAATCGCAACTTTTAAGTACAAACGTAGTACGCGGAGCACACCCCCGCAGCTCCGGCAGCACTTGCGCAGAGCAACTTGCGCAGAGTCACTTGCGCAGAGCAACTTGCGCAGAGCAACTTGCACAGAGCAATTACACAAAGCACTTGCGCAGAGCAACTTGCACAGACCAACTTGCACAGAGCACACGCGCAAAGCGCTTGCACGGAGCAACTGGCGCAGAGCCCTTGCGCAGAGCAACTTGCTAGCACTTGTTCAGAGCAACTTGCACAGAGCAGGCGCAGAGCAACTTGCACAGACCAACTTGCGCAGAGCACATGCGCAAAGCGCTTGCGCGGAGCAACTGGCGCAGAGCACTGGCGCAGAGCAACTTGCTCAGAGCACTTGCGCAGAGCAACTTGCACAGAGCACTTGCGCGCAGCAGCTTGCAGAGAGCAACTTGCGCGCAGCAGCCTGGAACAATGCAGCTTGCGCAGACCACTTTCGTGAGAAATCGCGCGGCGCAGTTCGAGAGGAAAGTAGGATGATGAGATGGAGCTCTCATGTGACCATACACACTGAGCATCGCCGCGCGCAGACACGCTCGCCGCAGCGATGTAAAAAGGTGTCCCCACAGCTGGATGAGCACCTGTGGAAAAATGCTTTCGGGCCAATCGTCCTCTAGTTCCATTTTTAATGGGGTGGGGATGAACCATGTAAGGTTGCCTGGCAAACAATCAAGAGCGTTGTTCTGCATCGATAAGACTGGCAAACAAGCCAGGTTTCCCCTTTCATCTTTAAGTTGCTAGACGAAGTGGCTGAGACGAAGAACCTGTCGGGTGCGCTTTGATTCATTTGGTGCCCGGGCAAAGAAAGCACCACACGGTTGATTCATCGGGAAGCGCTTTCCTTGCTTTAAAATGGGGCGAAGCTGAAAAGAGCAAAGCTCAGACCCATGCCTAAGATTGCCTAAGCTTTCTCTTGCCATGCAGCTTATCTGGTTCCAGTGCATCGAGTCTTTGTGCTTCGAAAGGAAGTCCTAGTAACGTGAAGATTCCCAGCAAGGACCCCTCCCAGCAATTTGTTTCGCCTTCGGAAATACGCATCTTGGATCAGAGCCCTGACAAACTTGGCTGACCAGGATGACATGTGTCATCCACACTTTCCGGCTGTGATCAAGAAAGCGGCGGGGTGACCAGCAATCGCAATCTGCCTCAGTCATTTGTTAGACCGTTCAAATCTAAGTCTTGCAAAAAGGCAAAGCAAGCAAGCAAGCAGGCAGGCAGGCAGGCAGGCAGGCAAGCAAGAAAGAAAGCAAGAAAGCAAAAAAGCGAGCAAGCAAGCAAGCAAGCAAGACCAACCAAACCAACCAACCACCAACGAACCAGCCAAGAAACCAACAAACCAACGAACCAACGAACCAACGCAAACGAAAACGAACGAACGACGTCCACCAAGCAAACAAGTTGTTTTGCCTTGGATTTCGGGTGGAATCTAGTGAAGTTTTCGCAGCTGGTTGTGGAAAAGACCCTTGCTGTACTGAAGACCATCCCATGACTAATGTATCGCTTTCTGGGTTGGAGCCTTTGATCTCATACAGCCGTCATGACTCAACTGGTTCAAAAATCCTTCAAGCCCAACTGGCCCACCCAAAACAACTGCAGTTCGCTTCTTCAAGCGGGCGGACCTTGCCCTAATCTAGGTCCTCCAGATTTGAGAGGTTAGAATAAGGGCCTTTTTTCTGTAGTCTATTTTAGTAGGGGAACCCTCCCCCAAAAAAGAAACGGTAAAAGGGCACCCAGCTGGGGGACCTAGTGATTTAAGCCTTCCACACCCCCGGGCGCCGCTTTCTTCGGCCTTCGGCCAAGCCGCCCGGCCCGAACGAACGAAGCGCCTCGAACGAAGCCTTGCGTCGCTTGCGTCGCCGTGATGCTTCGCTTCTTGGGCCCCGGGCAGCACCGTCTTGCTGGGGATCTGGGACAAAATGTCGTTGCCCTGCAGCTGCTCCTCAGAGCCAGAGGTTTTTTTTTGGTACCTTCTAAGGCACTCTCAGTTGTTCAGTGACCCTGAGAAAAAAAAGGGAACCTCTTTTTGGGGAAGACCATTTTTAGTGGGGCAGCCACCAAAAAAAACGGGACAAAGGGTGCCACTGAACAACTGAGCACTGAACGACCCCCTTTTTACACCCCAAAAGCCATCCTCAGGTACTTGGACCCTCTGGGCAAGCCAGCAAGCCACGCAAGCTCCTCACCGGCTGTGGGAATGAAATGGTTGCTCCACCTCTGTGATATAGCAAGGGCCTAAAACCCAACGACTCACACGGCACTGTGCAGGGGGAAGAGGTTGAATAAACCCTTTGACGCCACAACCTGCTCCTCACACCCGAAGCTAACAAGCCACGCACGGGACCGATGCCCTGCGACTTGGAAAAACAAAGCATTTGCATCTGTGATGCCAAATCCGGGATTCCCATCATGGCCAACACCTGGAAATGGGGGAACTCCAAATATATATATATATATATGTTTGATTCGACGTGTCAATACTTCCTCAACCCTATGAATAATTTGGGACGAGACATATGACTCAAAGTAGCAAGGGCTTACCATACAGAAAGTAGTGGACCTACCCATCCTTTCCCAGACATCACAAGTCACGGGTTGAGTTGGGTTCTGACAATTGCCAGCGAACCTGCTTTTTGTGTCTCGGAAACAAAAAGCTCTCGGACCCAAGACAGATTTTCAGGGCTGGATCGAGTTGAAATGCTCGAGGAAACAAGCAAGGACGACGAATGCTCATTAAAATGCCAAGGCCCCAGCCTCAAATGGCCAATTGGGCGCAACTCAACTCAGCTGCCTTCATTTCTAAAGATCCAACCCAAGAGCAGCCAAGAACTGTCCATCGCTTCCCATCCCACAGGGTCGTAATTGGTACCTCCCAATGGCAAGCCCCGTCCATTTCAGATGGCAGTTGCGGTCCTCGAGTTTCTCCATGTACTCCTTGAGTTGGTGAGCCCTCGCCGTGACCGCCGCCAAAGGCACCTCTCTTGAACTCGCGAAAAGGACCGAGGTGCGCCAAAGCTGGCCGGGATGTGATGTGGGCCTGTGGCTTTGTCTTTTTGTTGGGGAACCCTTGTTTGGTTGGTTTTAAAGGAAAACCACAAGGAAAAGCACGATTTTGGGGGTCCCCCAAAAAATGACACACCCATGTCAGTAAGGAAACAAAAGGTGGCATCTCAGGGATGTGGAGGTGGCTCTCATGGGATGACTGAACGTTACGAAAAAGCATGTGTCCTTTTCAAAGGGATACAAGTAACATGTCAGTGCCACCTGGGTTGCTCTTCCCTGAGCAAATGGTCTAGCCCTTTGTAGGTTTAATGGAGAACCCATTTGTTTACAAAAAGTCCAAGGGGCTAAGGTCACACCAAGCCAAGTCGAGGGATTACTGGTGAAAAGGTTCAGTTGGGTGAACGTAGAAGGCACAATCCCCCCCTTTCGGCTCCATCTTGCCCAATATCTATCCAACATAAAAATAAAGCAAATAAACTGCGCGATGTGCTTTCATCCTGGCCTATGAGCTAGAGGGTGGTGCGCCCCAGGAATGACTCTGGTTGAGACGGCCTATGCGGGCCCGTTGTTTGGTATCCAATCGGACCTCCAGTCGCCAAACGAATTTGGGTCAAGAGTGCCCTACGGTCTGTCCTGGTCCTGTGGATAAAGTGATGGATGAAAGCCTACTGGGATAAGCCATCGCTACCATGTCCTAAAATGGTATGCACCCAAACCACTATCCCCAGGAAAATTTGGGTATATACCTTTCATATAGTGGTTTTACATATATATTTGTATATGCTCACCCCCCCCAAGGTAGTTCATGGGGGGGGTGTGACCAGGGGGGGGGGGTGACCAGAGCTGGGGTCCCAAGTTCCGCCGGTCGATCCGCCAAAAACCCTCCCGAAGCCTCAGGCAAACCCGGAGCCTTTTGCCACATGTTCCAACCACTAAACAGGGATCCTTATATTATACACCGATCGAACATTACAACTTGTACATGGTGGTTTCAACCTTTATTTTGGTGTTGAAAAAGCAACACGTTTCAAATGGTTGCCAAATGTATCTTTTAAGGAGCCCTGCTAAACCTCCCCTCTATGAGACCTGAGACCAATTCAATTGACACAACCTCATCACCATATTCTCGTCCGCTTAAAAAAATCCCGCGAATTCCGCTGAAAATCAGTCGAGCCCCCAGCAAAAGGACCGTCCCCCTCCAGGGTGAGCTCCTTATACCCAACCCCTAAGACATCAATTCGCTCAAGAAGACCCAGGGCGAGTGCCACCCAACAACTCCCTGCTGTGTTCCATGACCAAAATCACGAGTGCGTCTTGCCAACAAACAGTTGTTGGGGGTGCTGATTCGCCAAAGTCCACTTACAAAGGGGTCGCGATTTGTTTTGGGAATTTTCCCCGTTTTGTTTTGGGAAAAATCCCAAAATAAATAGCCCTCCCTTACAAAGGACACCCTGGCAATTTCACCACCGATCTCGTGTGGCTTTCGGATTTCGGTTCGGCTGTCTCCCGAGCCTCGGGCTACACAACACCCAACGCAAAAAAACTGGCAAGCCATTTTGGGCCCGGCTATTTTGGGCAGTGATAGATTCCCTTAACAACCAACAGGGGGAAAAATAATCTTGATTGCGGCAAATGGAGGTCCCTACTTCCATACGTCCAACTTCCATCCGGAGAAGCGAGCGATCTGCCGATTTTTGGGCCTGGCCCATCTCCGCCATGATCTTCACTCGCTCCTCCACTTGGCCCAGCATCAAGGCCTAGGCATCGAGCTTTCCGCTGTGAGGGAAGCTTTTTGACTACGTCGTGAGGAATGCACCACCCAGATACTCATGGCAGTTCATCATGGCCGCGAGGTGTAGGCTCACATCACGCGAAGTGTAGGCGGGACCGTGGTTGCCCGCGCAACTCTTTTATACCTGAACCCTCCAAAAGTACTGAAATTTCACATGCAGAAAAAAAACGTCAATGTACACTTTTGAGGAAATTTGACGGAAATCGCTTTTAGCTGGCTGTGAGCGTTTGTGGGGCACATGGATGCACATGAACACAATTTGCAATTTACAAGGCCTGTCATACTTAATTCCGTTTCAGGTCATTCGTCTCCTATTGCTGTGGGGCGACATGTGACAGCTTCCTTGCCGCTTTTGTGAGTTTGCAGTTTTCTCAGCCAAAATGTAGAAACAGGAAATGCACGGAAATCGGCGGGAAATGCACGGAAATCGGCGGGAAAAGTACGGAAACTTGCGGAACAAGTACGGAAATCAGCGGAACGTTTGCTTGGCCAAATGCGCACCTTTTGTCCTTGGTGAATTGCATACCTTCAAATAGTTTTTCTTGGCCCGTGAGCATGACAATCGCCAGTGCCAGCGCCGGAGCTGAACGTGAGATTATTGTAGAAAAAGTCGCTGAATGCTCCTGTGTCTTGCGTTGAGCCTGCAAGAAAAGTACAGTTTTTGCTCAAATGTATGGTTTTTAAGGAAATGCACGGATTTTTGCCGACAGTCGCAAAAAAAGTGCCCTTGGTTGGTCCAGGTATCTGGGGGCTGTTCTGCGAAAAGTTGAAGTTTTAGCGGGTTCAATGGAAACTCAATCACTAAATCACCTAAAACCTAAGGAGCTAAGGGGGAACGGAGAGGACGGCCGGGATCCGCCAAGGAATGGACTTGTCCGGCATTTCGTTGTGCGAGCACACCCAATCAGCGCGGATCTACTGGCGGAACCTGAAGGATCAGATTGCCACGCCCATCTTGGCTATTATCATCCCCCCCCCCCCCACACAGGGGGAGGAGGTGGGGGGTCCCACAATTCCATTTATTCAGTCTTCCAACCACAAGGGAAAATGGAACCCTGAATGGAATTCCAGGGGTCGAAATCCCCCCTCCCTCAATTCCATTTTGAAGGGGGTGGGGATCTTTGATCCTGCGAGCCACGGACACTATTCCTCGCTCACCACGGGCCAGATTCACACCCGGTCACAGGGACAAACCAGTCTTGTGTTTTGGACACATCTCGTCTGGATTGAGAGTACCTGCAGTTTGTAAATAAATACATGTTCGAGTACCGAAACACATCAAAGTGGAATCTAGGCGATACTCAACCACACTCTCCAAGAGCATCCTAGTGCAAGTCCGATCACGCCTTGTAAACTCTTGTGGCTCCAAATTGCTCAAATTTCACGTTTGGACGTTTGCTTTCACCCAAGCAGCGCAACAACAGTCTTCTGCACCGACTTGATCATGGTTGTGGACAATGACTCCTTGTGTGCTTCCAACACGGCTCCTCCCCAGATTCTCCCCACGACCACTTCATATCAAGGAAAAAGTCTCTTGGTATCACAAGAAGGCGGCAATCTGAAGCGGAAAGGCGAACCTGATCAAGGCCCTGGCATTGTGGAAACGCGACATGACGTCGCCCCTCATCTCGGCAATCTTCAGCATCCTGCAGCAGGTTCAGGAGTTGGATGTGTGAAGGCGGCTAGGTAAACCTAATTATTTTTTCAGCGGCACATATGAGTGAATGCAAAATGGGCCAAACATATGTTTAACACTGAAATGGTAGAGTCCGGCAACTCAGGAACTGATGCTTCCAGCCTGCTCCTTGTGGGAAACACAAGCTGGGCATTCGAACTCGAGGGATTCAACCGTCCGCAACTTTTCCAACTTAGACTTCTAGGTTTTTCAGTAGAGAGGTTAGAATAAGGGTACCTTTTCTCCGTAGCCTATTTCAGTAGGGGAACACTCCCCAACAAAAGGGTAAAAGGGCACTACTGGGGGACCTAGACTTGCTTGGGTCATTACTTTGGCTGTTTCTACTGGTGATAAGTCAGAAACTGGTTGGTCGTTTCCCTTTAACCCACCACTTGGGTGACCTTCACAGTCTCGGTTTCTTTCTGCTCCCCTGCTAAAAGTTTAACGTTTAGCGGTTTAATCACGGAAAACCCATTAGTTGGCAAACAAAAAATATAGTCCTAACAACCAAGCAAAATGCACCAAAATATACCAAAATAGTGGCAAGATAATGGGGCGGACACGTTTGCGGAATGATCGGAAGCGGAATTGCCTGCGCTGAAGCACCCAGGACTCCTCATGTCTCTTGCTTGGGTTTTCCGGGGAAAATTAGAATATCCAGTACTCAGATGCCCAGTGGAATTCCATGGGAAAAAGGGCATCCTGTTTTGGTTGACTTAAAAGGGAAACCCTTCCCAAAACACGGAACAAGTATATTCCCTTTTCAACCAACAGTGTAGCTTACAAGGCACGTTTATTCCTTAGCAAACACAAGTAGCCGAACATGTCCACCCTGTTGACAGAAGCATTGGCCAGAGGAAGTCGAAACACCTTTTGTTTGCGATGAAAATGGTCCAAAGAGTGGCTAAAGTCCGAGCCGCGGAGCTCAGGGAGTCCGAGTTCCGGAAACGACCCGGAACTCAGCGCGCCGAGACGTGCCGAGGCACTTTCTGAGCTTGTTCATGTTGCCGGTGATGAGGTACAAGAAGGACAGTGCGTCAAAGTTCTTTGTCTTCTGATAGACCTGTCGCCATAGGTGTCTTTTTTGGGGAATAGATGACCCTGGTAGATGACTAAACCACAAGGTAAACCAGGAATCGCCATGTATTTTTCGACCAACACAACCAAAACGGACACCTATGCCTGTCGCGCTGTCCCCCCCCCCACCCAAAAAAAAGGCAGGCGGCCTGTAGGTGGATGTGGAGGGTTGATCAAAAGCTCCGGTAAAGATGACCATTGCTTGGAAAACAACTAAGAGTTTTGATATGTCCATGGGAAAAGTCAGCCATGGCTTGGAAAAAGGGAATATTGTTCAACCCGCCTGTCCTCACATGGATCCGCTTCTGATGGTGCCTACCACAAAGCCACTGTGGCTTCCACTCCTTCATTGACCCCTGAGCACTAATTGGACAAATCAGAACTTAGTTATCAATCTTACGTATCTTCTGCTAATTCATAGCCCCAAGCAATGCTGGTAACAGCCAGAGGCAGCCCATGAAAACTCGCCGCGACTGTCCAATGACTTGAGGCTGATGACAATCCCAGCCAAACAAGGTCCTTTGACCACCGAGCGAAAATCAAGTTGACTTCAGGAGACCAGCACCAAACAAGCCTAGAACTTGGGATGGCGTTTCGACCCCGGCGAGTTTTTTTTGTGGCAAATTCTCAGGCCAAGTAGCAAGTAAGGCCCGTCAAATGTCGAACAAATGGCGACGTTGCCTTCCGGGGCCCAACTTCAGACCCGGTCCCCTCGACGGATCTCGGAGATTCCACGAATCTCCGATCGGCTCCCCGCGCGCGACTGACGCGAGCGCGCCATCTCCACGATCTGCTGATTGCCCTGGCGAAGGGCCTCCAGGCCAAGCCGATTCCAACCTCGCGATGGGCGCTGCGATGCTCAAGGCGCTGGCCCGGTTCTTGCGATGCTCAGGGCGCTATGGGAAGGAGGCAAAATGCGGTCCAAGTCTTTTAAAAAAACACGGCTGTGTCCTGAATAAGCAAATCAAGTTGGTTCAAGGCACCATGGCAAGGAGGCAAACTGTGGTCCGAGTCACAAAGAAACATGGCTCCTGATTAAGTTGGTTCAAGGTGCCATGGGAAGGAGGCAAACTGTGGTCTGAGTTATAAAAACCATGGCTGTGTCCTGACTAAGTTGGTTCAAGGTACCATGGGAAGGAGGCAAACTGTGGTCCAAGTCATACAAAACATGGTTGTGTCCTGATTAAGTTGGTTCAAGGTACCATGGGGAAGGAGGCAAACTGTGGTCCAAGTCATACAAAACATGGTTGTGTCCTGACATAGTTGTTCAAGGTACCATGGGAAGGAGGCAAACTGTGGTCCAAGTCATACAAAACATGGCTGTGTCCTGATTAAGTTGGTTCAAGGTAGCATGGGAAGGAGGCAAACTGTGGTCCAAGTTGTAAAACAAATGGCTGTGTCCTGATTAAGTGGGTTCAAGGTAGCATGGGAAAGAGGCAAACTGTGGTTGTAAAACAAATGGCTGTGTCCTGATTAAGTTGGTTCAAGGTACCATGGGAAGGAGGCAAACTGTGGTCCGAGTCACAAAGAAACATGGCTCCTGATTAAGTTGGTTCAAGGTGCCATGGGAAGGAGGCAAACTGTGGTCTGAGTTATAAAAACCATGGCTGTGTCCTGATTAAGTTGGTTCAAGGTAGCATGGGAAGGAGGCAAACTGTGGTTCGAGTCATAAATCAAATGGCTGTGTCCTGATTGAGTTGGTTCAAGGAACCATGAGAAGGAGGCAAACTGTGGTCCGAGTTATAAAAACCATGGCTGTGTCCTGATTAAGTTGGTTCAAGGCAGGTACCATGGGGGCAAACTGTGGTCCGAGTTGTAAAACCATGGCTGTGTCCTGATTAAGTTGGTTCAAGGTACCGTGCGAAGGAGGCAAACTGTGGTCCGAGCTAGAGAACATGGCTATGTCCTGATTAAGTTGGCTCAACATCCAAGTAAGACCTCCAGGGTTGTACATCTGCACACCTGAGTGAATTGTCCAAACGGGTTCAAACCGGCTGTTTGCCACTAAAGTGGTTTCCCCAAAAATGTATGTCTGGGTTAACTTCCCGCTGAGGAAATACGCCAACAACAGCAGCCAGCATGGTGGGAACTGCTCTCTGTAATCAAAAAGAAAGGCCTTCCCAATGATTCATTCAGGCAAGGTTCCCTGGCATTGCTCTCCCCTGGATTGGAAAGCAAAAGGAATCAAAAGCACGGTAGTGCAGAACTTCCTGGTCTACATTTCAGGATGGCCCTCGAGAAATCCGACGCCTTCTTCTAGAGGGCCCTCTAATTCGAGAGGACGGAATGAGCGCACTCCATCTTTTCGTGGGATCCCCCCAAACGGCGGCGCAATATGACACCAGGGTCACAACCGCCTCCCCCCCCTTTCCCACGGGAAAGGGTAGGAAGGCAGCCAATGAGGCCTGGCGTAAACCTGAGTTGCGATAACCTCCCCCTACGAATACTGGACTTTTAGGGTGCGTTCTCTTCCATTTGATTCAGCCCCCTGGAAAAATTGTTTTCGGTAGTGTAGATTCCGTTTAAACCCACCAGGGGGATTCATTTTAAAAGCAAATGGAAGCCTCGTAAATGTTTCGGTCCATGTGGCAAAAACTGCGCATGGAGGGCATGTGCATGAATACTCCCAATCGAAAATCGAATGGCTCTTCAAAAACAGCTGATAGGTCCTCCAGTAGAGAGGTTGGAATAACGGTACCCTTGTTTCTGTAGTCTGTTTTAGTAGGGGAACCCTCCCCCCCAAAAAAAGTAAAAGGGCACTACTGGGGGACTTGGGCCCCATGCAGCGCCTGAACACCGTCATGCCGCCCATATCTCAACCACGGCTGTAGATCGCAAGAAACCGCCAGCAAAGGTTCCAGCATGCCTCGCTGCCAAAGGGGTGAGGTCTGAACTCCTGAAGGCTCCAGTAGAGCACTTGCACTTTCCGTTCGTTGGTGTGCTGCAACGCGTTGCCAGGCGAGACCTCGTCCGCGTACAACGCCAGCATCCAAGGCAGATCATTGCTGCAAGGAGTTGCCTGGAGCTTTTCAGCAAAGAAGGCTCTCCATGCTTCGCACTCGTGCGTTGCAGACGAAACCTATAAACCGAGCATCAAAGGGGTCTACCAACCCCAAACCCATAGACCTGGTATCAAAGCGATCTACCCAAAACACAAAGACCTGGTATGACCAACCCTAAACCAGACTTGGTGTCAAAAGGGCCTCGTATCAAAGGGGCCTACCAACCCCAAACCCATAGACCTGGTATCCAAGCGGCCTACCCAAAACCAGTGGTGGTCGTTTTTGTTCGCAAGCCAAGTGGGTTTTCCAAGCGGGGTTTTCGGGGGCTCTCCAAAGGCAGCCATGGATCTGGAATCTACCACTAAACCTTGCTGGCGCTCAGTAGGGATTGTGGGAATGAACCCAGGCGTCCCCTTCGTGGAAACTACCAGTTGGACGGTTTGTAGGGGGTCATTCCATTTCTCCTTCCGTATCGCACCAGCAAGAAACCAGCCCAAAAACCACCGAAGACCCAACGAAGCGGACGGCTCCCTGGGAACCGAGGGCTGTGGGTCCAGTCAGCCTCCCCACGACCCATCTTCGAGTTCCCAGACTGCTCCGCTCGTCCAACTCTTGGGCGGCGGTCATGGCCTGCTTTGCTCGGATTGTGGGAGGTGGGAGGTGGGGTGGCACAGGAGAAAGGAGAATTCACCAACAGCGGGTCTGCGCGGTCCTTCCTCCCTGCAAGCTCCAATCAGTCATTTTGTAGTGGGAAAGCACGGCATGTTCCAACTCACTTGCACCAAGCGGGACCTGGCAGTAAAAGGCGATCACCTATTGGAGCTGCAAAAACTGAATGGACCATGGGAAAATCAAAAGGTCATCTCAGGTCGAATCGTCTTGGCCAAGCGAGTAAGAGGGTCTCCACCGGCTGTGAAAACCCTCTGACAGCCCCAGGGGAGAACTTTTTTGGGGGATGGGGAGAACATCTCAGCGCCCAAAATAAGACATTTGATACAAGGGGCCACAGTGCACCTTAAAATGCAAAGTGGCTTCAAGTCAGGAAACAAACCCGCGCATGCCGTTTTAATTCCTCCAAATGGCAAACAATGGCATATCGCGTGCCACAGTGCGTTTGGGTTGCGAGCTGAAGGCCCCTTCTCGTGTGGATGGTCCAGCAACAAATCCACTTCCCTTGACAAATATTTTCCCTCCAACAATCATGGAAGCTGACAATCGGAGGGTTTTTGAAGACTACTTTCCTTTGGGGGGATGGGAGAATAGCTGCAGCCAAGGCAGGGCAACCGAGGGCAACTCAGTTTGCCTTAGAGAATGGCAAAGGTGTGCAAGCGGGATATCAAGAGTATCCCTCTATGAGGCTGCCTGCACAAGCTGGTTTCCTTTTGGCATCCTGTTATAACCAGCCAAAGGGGTGCCCCAAAAACACAGACACCCCCCCCAACAAAAAAACAACAATGACTTCCGTGTTCAAATCCTCAAACCCAAAAAGTCCTATGGGTCCAACTTGTTCCACACACCGCACAAGGGTGGGGGATTAAGGCCAAGCGAGGCCAAAAAGAACACCGGCCAAGTAGGCCTTGAACCATGGGTGTCCTTTTAGGGGAAATAGATGGCCCTGGTAGATGATTAAACCACCAGGTAAACCAGGAATCGCCCACTATTGTTTCCAGCAAAACAACCAAAAAGGACACCTGCGCCTTGAACATGTTTTGTGTTGGGGTCTTTGGAAGGGGTGTTGCTAGGGGCCAACAAAGCGTACGCCACACCAACACAAATCTGTGCTCTGCAAGGCCTCTTCGATGTGGCCGTACCTATGAGCCACAGCCAAATGTTCAACAGAGATCCTGCCTCCCCATTTGGCAGTCAACCAATTCGGCAGTCAACCCATTTGCAGTTTACCCTGTTGCAGTTGACTTTGGCCAACAATGACAAAGCCTACAGACATACGATCAGATTGCCAGCCAAACACTTGTAGTGCAGTTTTACCATGAGCATGCTATGACCCTCATTGCGCCCTGTTTACAGTGCCAGTCTACAGTGGCAATCGATATTCCCATAGCCATGGGACACACAGAGCTCAGCTCTGTTCGAACCACCGTTTACACTCAGGATGCAACACGGGCGGGCCTAGGCCAGGCGCAAAGCTGAGTCACAAATCCACAGAATTCACTTTGGGCGGCCGCGCCTATTCAAGGCTGGGACCCTGCCAAAGGAAACCTTGAAGAGCCGGGGATTTGATTTGAAGAGCTCAGCTGATACGGAAGTGGGCGATTTGTTGTACCCTGGGAATGACAAGGCCTTCAAAGGCCGTCGACGTGAAAAATTTGATAAGTCGCAAAATCCAGCCTCCCCAAAGCCTCGAGATATAAATAACCGTATTCTTGGGCTGAAGTGGTAGGGTCTGCCACTGCCCCAACTGCGGGGCTGCCGTTTGAGGGAGGTGACATGGGGGACCCATAACCACTGAGTACTAATTCCCTGTCTCGAGCTTGATGTAAATGGCTCAAAATTCTCCGCGTGGCGTTCCAACGACAAGATACAACCCACGTGAGAGATACTGTGGATACAAACATTAAGCCCCCTGGAATAACAAACATTTCAAATGGAAGAAATAAACCATTTCCCGCCATGTCCCACATTTCCAGTAGTGAACTCGATTCCCTTGAAGACAAAAGTGAACACATGCCCAGTAGTGCAATCGACTCCCTTTAAAGCCAAACAGGGCAAAATAACATGTCCCGCCATTTCCCACATTTCCAGTAGTGAAATCGATTCCCTTGAAGACAACAAAAGCAACACGAATGTCCAGTAGTGAATATATGTGCAGTAGTGAACATATGTGCAGTAGTGAACATATGCCCAGTAGCAAGATCGTTTCCCTGTAAAACCAACAGGGCAAAATAACAAATATTAATTTCAGCTAATGGAAGAACCGCCATTTCCCACATTTCCAGTGATAGATTCCCTTGAAGACACAAGAAAACACACATATTCATTTCTGCACACGGACGGTGTCTCGTAGTCCCGTCCGCAACCGCCCAAACGCTTCGCGCACTCCAGGGCCAAGTTGAAGCCTCAAGGTCGAAAAAAATGAAACCAGCGGCGTGGGGTTCTCGCGAAATCATTGGTTTTGAACGAGCAAATGGGCGCGTCTTTTCTCTGGGCTGTCCGTTTTCTGATCCCCAAAAGTGAATAACTTTCAGTGGGCTGAATACGGAAACTACCACTGAACACTAAGAAGCTAAAAGGCTAAGAGGATGGCTGGGAGACACCAAATTTCGGAGGGTAGGGTTTTTGGGCTGGTGTTGTAAGAACCTTTTGTTTCAGCGAGAGAAAGCTTAGAGCGTCTTTTTTGGAATGCACACTCCTCCAGGCGAACTTGGAAGCTCCCAGACCCCCCGAAGACTTCTTAATCCATTTAAAGTTGACCCAGGATCTAAGTAGAACCCGTCCCACTATTAGGGGGGTGGAAACCCCTCCAAAAGTGGTCGGAATCCAACCACTAAATGGAATTGGACCACCCCCCCGATCAAAATCCACCAGGGGTTCTACTTAGATCCGGGAAAAACATTACAGTGGCCTTCTGAGAGCTTCCGCTGGGGCTTTCAATAGAAGACCCGACCCCATTAGGCACCCCGGGAATCGGTGGTTGGGACCCGGTCTCAAAACCAGTTGTTGTTTGAAAGCCCTAAATCCATCGGTTCGGAGCCTCTGGGTAAAAGGAAGCACATCATTTTGGGGGGGTCCGGGGTCCCCTGGCCCAAGTTTCAAACGTGCTCAAACCTTCTAAAATGGGTGGTGCACCTACAATAGACTAAAATGAGAGGTGAATTCACCTACCCCAAAATGGTACCATTGGTTTTGAACCACAGCCATATCTATCCCTTGATCCACCCGAGCCGCAGCGGAACTCTTGATGTGCCAAGCACTATTTGAGTCATAATCAAAACCTGGTACAAAAATGTGAACCCAGAACCATATAAGGAATTGAAAAGGCGGCCGCAGCTATTTATGGCTGGGAATGTCCTTTACTAACCTTCATCTACCCGGGTTTTGATTGAGGCTCTTTTCATTTCATTGAGAGTGCAACCGTGAATTTAAGCCACACACAAATGGCTGCGGGTCAAAAATAGGTGCCCAAAATGGCTTGCCCTGCTACATGGAACCAAGGACTAAAACCCGCAGTCCTCTGGTGGCTTAACTTTGACCCATACCCAAATCGCACTCGCAGTAACGTGGCCTCCATTTTCCGAAACAACGACCAATCATCCACTTCCGTCGCATTTGGTGGTTTGGACTGGTGGTTTTGGCGGTTAAGGAGGGGTGTCCCATTTACCGACAAGAAACAGGGGTTCAAATCTCCAGTTCCCGTCAATCCAAACCAGCAACCGAGGGGTTACCTGAAATCAATGAAACAACAAACATGTAATGTTGCACGGAGCTGACCTGTTCCGACAAAGTGAACATCTAGGGCACTTGCAAGTCGGGTTCTGGACAAAAACAGGAATCTGCCCAATCTGGGTGTCTCCCTTTTAGGAATCGGACCCCAAAATAGTGAACTGTCCGTTTGTTTTCCCTTTAAACCCACCCGCAACAGGGTACCCTGAGAAAAACAACACACCCATCTCCATGTGTTCAAAGAAAAAGTGGTGACCCCGTTCCTTGGTTGCTGTTGACCCCTCTGCAACAAGTTTCACTTTTGGTGGAATTAATACGGAAAACCCAACTAGATTCCAACCAAAAAGTTAAAGTGTAAAGATCCGTTACCCAATAGCAGTCAAGGTTCAGTGGCCGTTCTACACGAGTGTTTTCCCCGGAGAAGCGGTGGGTCTTCAACGAAGCGAACCAAAGGCGGGCGGGCAGCGGGTCTGCTGATCCTCCACGAAGTGGAGTGCGACCTGCGTGCATGCAGCGGCTCGGAAACCAAAGAAAACAAGCTCAACCACCGAATAACATGGGGAAACCAACTAAAAACTAAACCAACCAAACCAACTACATAAACTAAACCAACCATCTAAATCAACTAAACCCAAGAAAAAATAATAAAAATAAAAACCAAAAACTAGTGGGGAACCTGATGGCTGGAAACCACCAAGTCTTGGCTGGCTGGTTTTCTTACTTCAACTCGAGTGGATTGGCCAGACAAAGTCGGAACTGTTCGTGGGCCACTAAGTGATCATACCAACAAGTATAAAGTCCAGAAGCCCAGCAAGTGAGCAGGAGCCACGCCATCCCAACTGCATGTATCAGGGGATGCGATTTGGTACTCTTGGTATCGTCTAAATATGGCCCCCAAAACCCAATTTTAGACACCCTACGAGAATCTGGGTTGGTCCACGCGCTTGTGACACGTCCCACCTTGTGCTTGTTGCTCGTGAGGGAAACGGTCGCACCAAACAGGAAAAGAAAGCTCAAACTTGGGCATGCAATTGATTGGTGACCCTTTGCTGGACATCACGGACCATAAATGGACAAATACCTGCACCGTTTAGGTGGTTTAACCCCGTCATAGGGTTTCATCCCTGATGCGAAGCGGATTTTGTCCATCCATTGCGACGCCCAGATGCTTTGCTACTGCCTCCTTTGTGCGATACTGTTTTCAGTGCCAACCACAGGGGTTGGATTTCCCCGACTCAACAGTTGATCTCATCTCTACTCTTGGTATGGTAGCGAAAAACTTTGTTTTTGCAGACCCCCAGTAAACATGAACAGAACCAAAAAGCTAAAAAACCAAAAAACATGCCAAGAACAGTGAAGATCAATTTCCTGGTGGTTTCCCTACGAGAAAGCCACTTTGGGATTTTTCCCTTTGAAGGGAAGTGGCTCGGAAACCCTGGCCAAGAACCTTTTTTGCGATTCTCGGCCCCCCCCCCAAAAAAAAAAGAAAGAGAAGCAAATAACAAAAATGGGGGTTTAATGGGAAACCGATTCTCCTCTTTCTTTTCAAAAAAAAAAAAAAAAACATGTTTTGTTTTGGGGGAAACCAAAAGGAGAGCCACCACTTTTGGGGCGCCTAAACTCTGCAGAAACCCGGCAAAACAGAACCTGTGTTCAAACCCCGCGGCCGGGTTTCTTTCTGCCTCGGGGAAGCCTTTCTGCTTCAAGTAGCCAATCACCTCACGGCGAGATCTGACTCATGTGTCGTGAACAAACGTCAAGTGATGAGCTGGTTTTGGGTTCAGAGGGCAACCCCAAACCACTTTGTGATGGTTGTTGCTTTTGCTTTGTTTCTTTTTGGTGGGAGAGGGGGCTAACATGGAATGGACACTGTGGATGGTGCTAGAAACACCCGAAGCAAAGGACACCAAGTTTTAAACATGCTCTGGCCATGGCCCAGGCCATGAGAATCCCCGTGTTGTGGCTGCTCCATTTGCTTTTTTTGCCCCCCAGAAATGAAAAAATATGTCCAGCAGAGATTCGGGACCCCCGTGGTGGCAATCCTTTCATCCCAATCACAGGCCGTTGAAAGCTCAGATGGAAGCCTTCAGGACCGAGTGTCAGTTGCAGTCTGACAACTCATGCTCCGCGCACACCGCAGCTTCTCACCCGGCGGACAAAGCAGGCTTGATCTTGGTCCCGTCTTGGCAACTGGGCTCCGTCTTGGATTCTTAGAGGCCCCGCTTGATCACCTTTTATGTTTGGGAAGGGCAGCTGGGAAAAAGAACATCGTGTGGATCTCAATTGAACTGATTGACAATATAATGTTCGCTATGGCATCATGGACAAACATGCCAACATAGGATCTATAAATACAAGGCGATCCCCTTTTGGCACCAACAAAAATGGGCCAAGGGCTACGGGGGAAAGCCCAAAAGGTTCAGATCTGGAGATTTACTGGGACTTAGAAATTTTGGCAGCGCAGCTTCCCTTTCTCATCCGGCTAGGAGCTTCTCGGCTTAGGGATCTCCTCGGTTTTTCCATTGAGCCCTCTAGAGCCAGGGGTTCCAATCCCCAAGCCAAGCCAAGCTGACGGGTTGCTTGACCCTAGGTGATGGTTTGTAAAACATCAATCTACCTGGAAAAAACCGTCTATTGTCAAAAATAAATAAACGATCAACAGGGTGCATATGGGTGGCTTGTGTGTGTGTGTGTGTGTGTGTGTGGGTGTGTGGGTGTGTGCGTGTGTGTGTGTGTGTGTGTGTGTGTGTGTGTGTGTGTGGGTGGGTGGGTGGGTGCGTGCGTGCGTGCGTGCGTGCGTGCGTGCGGTGCGTGCGTGTGTGTGTGTGTGTGTGTGTGTGTGTGTGTGTGTGTGTGTGTCTGTGTCTGTGTCTGTGTCTGTGTCTGTGTCTGTGTCTGTGTCTGTGTCTGTGTCTGTGTCTGTCTGTCTGTGTCTGTGTCTGCGTGTCTGTCTGTCTGCGTCTGCGTCTGCGTCTGCGTCTGCGTCTGCGTCTGCGTCTGCGTCTGCGTCTGCGTCTGCGTCTGCGTCTGCGTCTGCGTCTGCGTGTGCGTGTGCGTGTGCGTGTGCGTGTGCGTGTGCGTAGTGGCGCGATGCGTGTGCGTGTGCGTGTGCGTGTGCGTGTGCGTGTGCGTGTGCCGCGCCAAAGCGCGTGGGCGCGTGGGCGCGTGGGCGCGTGGGCGCGTGGGCGCGTGGGCGCGTGGGCGCGTGGGCGCGTGGGCGGCTGGGCGGGTGGGCGGGTGTGCGGGTGTGCGGGTGTGTGGGTGTGTGTGTGTGTGTGTGTGTGGGACTCGGACCCCCAAAATGGCTTCGGTTTTCCGTGTGGTTCCCTTTAATGACCATCCCAACAGGGGTAGCAACTCACACCCTACTTCCATTTGGTTAAGACCCCTGGAAAGAATAAAAATATGTCCAGTAGTGATAGGTTCCCTTCAAAACCAACAGGGAAAATAACACATATTCTTAGCAAATAGAAGCCTATAGCCCCCCACCCCCCCCGCATGGCCCCCCTTTCCACTTCCGCCGCTGGGTCCCCTGAGGCCCTGGCCGCGTTGCCGCAAAGCCGGCCGTTGGTGATCCAAAGCTTCACGTCGTTGAAGTTGCGCTTGTGCAGCGCCAGCCTCAGGAGGCTAGCGAGCGACGAGCGAGGAGCGACACGCACGGGTTAGAACTCACTGCCGATCCTAGGCTGTCCGTTTTGGGATCCCCCACTAAAAGTGACTAACCGTTAGTGGGCTAAATACGGAAAACCCCACTAAGCACTAAAAAGTCTATATAAAAGGCTAAGGTACCGGACGAGTGGACTGGCCAAAAACCAGGCTGAACTTTTGGTTTGCCACCAAAATGGTCCAAGCCCAAAAAGTGACTAAAGTGCAGGAACTCAGGAAGGGTTAGAAAGGTTCATATGAGCCTGTCGTGCTTTTTTGGTGCCCGGTTTTGGGGGTTGGTTTACTGAGGGTTCTTTGTGTTACACCCTGGGATTACACCCTTGGGAAATGACCCAGAATGGTTCATTTTTTTCTAAAATAACACGGTTTTATCCGGAAATGCGCCTACATGGGGTCAATACCCAGTGGGTGTATTTCCAAGGAGTAATACAGAAACCCTTGGAGTTTAGGGAAACCAAATGCAAATCCACTATTTTTTTGGGTATTTGATGTTAAGACAGTGACATCTTAGGGCGTGACGCAAAAATAGGGTAACCCCCAAAATGGGTTGGAAAAGTACTACGGTTTTCTGGTAGTTTAACTTTGGTCCATACCCATATGGGTTGTCTGTTTTTACGGCTACCCTTTTGGCCCCAATGAAACCAAAAAGAACCTGACCCACTAGAATTGCCTTGGCGCCAGGGTTTGGGGCGCTTTCTGAAAAGTGGAATTTGGCCAAGGAAACCTCTCCCCAAAAAACCTCCGCAACCCAAGGACGTGCCCTGCGGTTGGCTTTGCAGACTTTTAGCGCGCAACAGAGCATCAGCACTGCAAAACCAGGCAAAGCGTCTGTACTTGGGTGCGTTTCAAAAATAGAGTATCCTGTTTTGGCTGGTGTTGAAAGGAAACCAGAACAGAAACCGCCCACATGGAGTCCGCAATTGTGAGAAACAGCCACTTCCAAGGACAGCTCTGGACACGCAAGCATGAAGGGCCTCAGGATGTTTTTTGCATGTGCAAGGTTCGTAACATTCCTGATCGCTTGAAACAACCTACAGCGTGGAACGGCTCAACTGACAAAAAAAGCTGCATGAAGTAAAGTGCCTCCGTCTGACTGGTTCATTGGACAAATGTCAGGACCCAGATTCTGGGCAAAAGGACAAGTTCAGTTCAGTCTGGCCCGACATGATGACTCCCTAACGTAAATCCACATGGAACCTAGATGTCTGGTTTGCTGGGTATGTGGGTTTGTCAAAATACAGATTTGGATTCCAAGATAAATTTCGGCTGTCCTCTTGGTTTCCGTTTTAACTCACCCTAAAAGGGGTACCCTTTATCCCACAAGCAGAACATCCCAGCGAGAGTACCTGGAAGATCAATTCCCTCCCGGAGATATCCGGATTTCTGTCAGGTGCCATATGACAAACATGGAACCTGCACAGGGGTCGCCTTAGAAGGAACATGTTCTTCCAGGAACCCCTGCGCAGGTTCTATGTTTGTCAGGAGGGTACCGCAACAAGAACACATACCCTCCCACCAACTAGTATGGAAGTGCAAAAAGGCCCTTTCCAAGAGGAAAGTAGTCTTTCTACAGGGGTCTGTGCACTTCCATGTCAGCTGGTGGCAGGGTACCCAAGCGAATCTGGGGCCCACAGTGCGCCAGCTACGTCCGAATCGGGTGCCCACGCTTGAAGAGGTACTCCGAACAGTTCAGCCGCTGCTTGCCCACCTCGACCGCATGGCTTGGGGTTCTACCCGGTCTCACCAAAAAAAAACGATGGAAGTGGACGTTTTGGGGCTTCAAAAGGAAAGTAGTCTGCCAAACCCCTCGTGTCAGCTTCCGAGGGTAAATGGGCTTTACTGGGTATATAAATGTATATATCTACTATTGAGGACCAAACAAAGGCGGCCCAGTACCTGGACATTGTATCGAGTTGCAGTAAATCCACATTCGAAGTTGGAGGACGCTCTATTCCGGTCCCCCTATTTTGACAGATATCCAACTCCGTTGTTCAGTGACCCTGAAAAAAAGGAAACCCTTCTTGGGGAAGACCATTTTTAGTGGGACAGCCACCAGAAACAAAACGGGGAAAAAGGGTGCCACCTGAACAACTGAGCCAAATGACGTCGCCAAACAAAAAGAACGCCCAGGAAGGGACATTAAAAACCGCTGTAACTTCTACCGCCGAGACATCGCACATCCAAGCGATGGATGACGTTGTAAGCCGGCATGTAAAACACAAGCACACGTCACATGACACGCACACGCGTGAAATGCACATGGGCACATAATCGACACATGCCCCTGTGTCATTTGTGTAAGACTGAGAAGTGCGCTGCCTGCGAGTCGGCTCACTCAGCATTCAGCCACGTGCCAAGTTGCGGTGTGAAATCAACATGCTGACATGGAACAAAAAAGCTGAAGACCTAACCATCTACTTGCGCAAAACTCATCTCCATGCGCTCCCACCCTCTGGAGGGACCCGCGCCATCATTGCAAGTTCTGACTTTTCATTCTATGCCCTCAAGCAACCTGATCCACGCCAGTTGACCGGACACGCCTGCAGTAACTTTGCCCAAAGTGCGGAAAGTCAAAAGGAGGCCCCGATGCTATCATAAAGTCTGTCCAACCTGGCTTGACTGTGGTGTTGGGTGCTGACTTATCAGTCACATGACTTGAAGACAGCATCAAAACTATGCTGGCATGGCGACGTGCATACACATCGCTTGTTGTGCACGAACATTTTTCCATCGGGTGGTGCCACAAAACGCCACAGTAAGTTTGAGGTCTGCCTACTAAAATACCGTTGGCAGAACAGAGTCAAATAATAGGGTAAGGTTTTTGCCGCATCGCACAGCATGTCAGTCGCGATCGCACATGTTTGCCTGAAAAATCTAGTCGAATTGAGTAGCGCCCAGTCCTATTGGATCTGTCTGTTTTTATTGTGCCCCCCTTTTGGTGGCTTTAAAGGAACACCAAACTCCAAACCGTTGCGCTATTTGGGAGGGTCCAAATCCTAAACAAACGACGCACCCTGGCCATTTTAGGTTCTGCTACCTTTGCCGGGCAACGCCCAAGGTGAAGAGACCGGAGTCAGCACGCTGTGTCTCTCCACATCGGAACCCCAACCTGCTTGGTGTCCTGTTGGTCTCCCTTCAAATGACAAGCACAAGGGGTTGGAAATGCACTGAACAGTTGGGTTTCCCCTTCTTAACTTAAGCCCAAAAAAGGGGGTTCCCCGAAAAAAAAAACCAAAAAAAACAACGCAGCCCACTTTGAGAGACGCCCCGTTTGACAGAGAAGCCCACTCGGGGAGCAACAGGTTTCCGCCATCTCCGCCCTTTGGGGTCCTTCCGTGGAAGATGATGGGGCCCCATTGACACCAACATCTCTACTCTTGGTATGGTAGCGAAAAACTGTTTGTTTTTTGCAGACCCCCAGTAAAAATGAACAGAACCAAAACAAAAAAAACATGCCAAGAACAGAGGAGCCAAGGTGTTCAAAGTGGGGAAGAATGCCGACGTAATCGTTCGAATCAGAGTGGGACAAGGGAAACGACATCTGGCAGGATGAAGGATTGACTTTGAACATCCCAGACAACGGGTGCAAGGAGTTTGAGCCTCACCTTCGATCCAAAAGCCAACAGAAATCAGCCCTTGCCACTGCATAGGTTGACACCTTCCGTGGGGTTTCCTGGTCTCTGGTTGCGCTGAACCACGATCGACTCTGGGACCAAGGCCTTCTGCTCGCGGTCAATGAAGTACATGCCCTGCTTGTGCACCTTTCCAAAATGCGCCAACACAGTCGAAAAATAGGGGATCCCCAAAAAGTGGCTTTCAGATTTGTTCCCCTATCGAGTCAAAACAGGGACTTGTGTCAAAATAGTTATTTGCCCACTAGAGGCAACAGCCAGGTTTTGAGAACCCCAAACACCGAAGCGGGGTGTCTAATGGAGGGGTCGGGTCTTCCATTGAAAGCCCCAGGAGCCTCTGGGCCCCAACAAAAGTGGTTTTCAGATTTTTCCCCCCATCGAGTCAACATAGGGATTTGTGTCAAAATAGGGAGTTGGAGCCTCCAAAAAGCTGGTTTTCAGCCTTTGTTCCCCCGAGTATAAAAGGGGACCCGAAAGACAGACGGAAGTATCTTGCCCGCAAGTTGCTGCTGAAAACTCCGCTTGCCAACATTTGCAAATATCCTGCAAGGAGCCCACTAGCTGCATGTATTACTTGAGAAGGTGTCAGGGTAGTTTTTCACCTCTTGATTTGACTCGACGGGGCCAACGCGCCCACATGCACACGAACAGAGACCAAAGACCACGACCCACAAAGGGAGTGTGACAATGGCGTTGTTGGCCAATTGAGTCAAGGGTGCTGCTCCCTGATGCGCGGATAGTTGAAGATATCGGTCATGGTAACCGGAACCTTTGCGACGATTCCTGCTAAGGGGTTGATGACCCTCGCTACCAATCCCAAGAAAACGACCTCAGCTTTGGCCGCCAACCAAAATCATATATGCTTGCTTCTCCACTTGTTTAGTACACTTTGAACATCACAACAAAAAAAAATGCAGGGATGCCAGAACAGGGCTCTTGACAGTCGGACTTCGTGCGCTCATTTCAAAACTTTCCGGGGGCTTTCCTTCAAAACTGGCGGGGGCACCCGGACGATGTAGATCGGATTGGCCAAGGAGTGGATGATGCCGCTGTCTCCTCGAGACGCGGCCCGTCCCAACATAGGAATGAACCCCTTTCTGGGTGTGTCTTTCTTCAGGCAGCACCACCAAAATGTTGAGTTTCCAATTGGCGTCCTTCAAAACCTCACGGAAAAAGGGGGTACCCTCAAAACAGACAGACCCTTTTGGGCGTGTTGAAGGAAAATCCAAAGAAAAGCAGCTACTTATTTAGGGCTTTGGGGCTCCCGATTTGGAGAATTCACACCTATGCCAAATCACGTTGCCTGTATGATTTACAAGCTACTCGCAACACTTCCCGAGGTTGTGCTGTGTTGATCCTGAAGGTCAAGCAGACGCACACAGCACAGCAACCAATGCTTGGTTGTTGAAGGGGGGTGTGGTGGACCCCTCTGCAACGCGTTAAACGAGTTAAACTTGTTGTGGCTCCCATGGAGCATCCAATGTTTCCCAACACCTTAACTTCAAAAAATGCAACCAAAGAGCCATAAAGCGGGGGGGAGGTCCGCTTTTTGTTCTTTACATGGGAAACCAAAAGGAAAAGGAGCTCTTGAAGGCTCAGGTCTTTTTCTGACACAGTGCTCAAGTGCTCAAAGAGCTGAAAGCCAACCCCCGGCTCTTCTGTTTCCAGGGGTTGATTCCTCCATTCTTCTCAACCATCCTTCTTCTCAGTTGTTCCGTGACCCTGGAGAAAAACAAGGGAACCCTTTTTTTGGGGCTTGGACCGGATTTTTTTAGTGGGGCAGCCACCAAAACAAAAAGGGGAGAAAAAAGAATCGGGAGCCACCTGAACCACTGCGACGTTTCAACCACCGGCGGCTTCCCCTGGGCTGTTGATGGTCTTTTTGAAAAGAAGCGGACCCCTGGAAAGCATGGAAATGGAAATGGTACCCCCCGAATGCTCCTTACTTTCACACTTTGGGTGGTTAACATAGAATGCAAACGCAAAAATCGGCTTGCTTTGCTTTTCACTCCTGGGGTACCATCAAAAAACGCCACCAAAATCCAGAACACCTGCATTTAGGGAATCAATCCAGTTTGCCTCTCGTGTATTTGACCCATGGCCCCTCAACATCACGACGTTTTACCGATGTGATGAACGTAAATGGGTTGCTATGCTTTTTCTTGCGAGCCCATTGACTTTGTGCGACCCTAGAAAGGTCCTGAAATCCGTTCAAACCCCACCTCTCTGTACATCCTTGCTTCTTGGGAACGTGGGATTTTACAACTCACTTCCTGAGTGGATTGGCCAACAAAGCAACCACTTTTTGCCCACCGCTGAAATGGCCCCAAACCCAAACAATTGCTGGTCATTAGCAACTAATGTCCAGCAACTCGGGAAGTGAGACAACTTGTGGCCAAGAATTCGTGTCAAAGCTGTTCTCAAATCCGCCGACCCCATGCCTGGTCCAGAATGGACCATGCTTTCGGCATGGGGGCGGTGTGTTCTGTGTTGCTTTTTTTGATATGCTTTCTATAAGTTTAATGTGAATATGATTATGTATTTGTATATGAGACAGCGTCAAAATTACTTGTCTGGGGTGTATTCATCTGGTGTTAGGACGTCCCGTATCGTTTTACAGGTTTTGCTTAAAAAGGACGTCCCGTATCGTTTTGCAGGCCGTGGATACGGGACACATCCCTGCCCCCGTGCTTGCTACCAAACGATTCTTTGCGGGAACAGCGCCAACGAAACAGCAACGGAATGGAAGCTCCCACAAGCAGGCGTTCCCCGGTATAAAGCCACACGGCGGCCAAAGCGCAATCCCTGCAAGCAAAGCAACTCACACCACGGGCCGCAGATTCCTTTTAGTCCCCCTCAGACTTGAGGAGGAGGAACTTGCACTTGACACAGAGTCCTCCTCCAACGGCTGTTGCGCCGCTGCTTTTGCCTAGCTTTGCACCTCTTCTCAACCAGCTCTCCCCGCTTGCTGGGTCCGCCACGCTTTCTCTCATCTCGTTGCCTCCTCAAGTCGGCGTGCCAGCAAACTCACGCAGTGTTGCGTCCATGTAGTTCCTCACCCGCTTGGCTGCTGGAGCTGGGGTTGTTCGCTTCACACCCAGGGCACACGTGCAGCCGCTTGGGGAGAAAGGACGAGGCTGCGTCCAAAGATGCTTGTCACGCCCCCGCGGCACCGCCGGCGCTGGAGCCGCGAGGCTGGCTTCCTCACCGCGGTGGTCTTCTTCACCTTCTCGCCTTCGCGATCACCTTGACAATTGCTTTTCCGCGCTGTTCGGCTCAGCCTTTGGAGCCGAGGCAGCTCTCTCTATGCGAGCATGCTGCCCCTCCTGGGTCAAAGCTTTCCACTTCTCCTCAACACGCACTCCTCAACCCATCGTGATTCTTCCTGTGTCAGCCCAGCGCCGCCGGTTTGTGGCTGCACGGCTGCGAGGCTGCCTGGCAATTCCTGGCATTACAATCCTTGCTCTCCAGCATTGCAGTTCTTTCACAAGCCACCCCCAAATGTGTGTCTCCTCGTAACTGCAGGGGTAGCGCTTTGGTGTCAAGTGGGCCACCCCCGACATTTAGCATCCTGCCCCATTGCGGGGGTATCGTCGGGGTATCGTTTTGGGGTATCGTTTTGGTGGTCGGTTTTTTCTCGAAGCGGCGCTGTTTGACAACTGTCTTACTTCCGCTCTAAGGAGCCTCAGAGAAGCGCTGGAGCGTGCAAAATGCAGCCCTGCAGTTTGCTTGCGGCCGAAGAAAGGTAACCTCCCAAGCACCTTGCGTGGCCAGCAAAAGGGCAAGCCAGTGGGACATCCTCAGAATGCATAGCTGCCGTCTTGGTTTCCGTCTATGGACGCTCCACCCTCCAGCTCTCGTGCTTTCTAGCCTTTTTCGTAGCTTTTTCATGCGCAGAGTGCAGATGCACGCATTCTTCGAAAGAGCTCGCTCATTTAGTTCCAGTGTTGCGCAAGTTCCTTCTGAACTTCGTTGACCAAACGGAGAACTACAGTTGCACCCCTTCTAAACTTCCTTGACTGAACGGAGAACTACTTTTACATCCCCTTCAAAAATGCAAACGCTGCAAGAAAGACTTTTGCCCAACTACAACTCGTAATGCTTTTTGCTGGCCGGCAGTTACCCCTGCAATGTGGTGGACACATGCTAGAAACGTTCGCCCCGTTCAAGCACAGCTTGTTTTTGCCACACGTGTCTTGTCACAAGCCAGCTGGTGCTCCAAATGTGAAGTTCCCTTTTGATCCCCCTGCCCTGCAACCCTTGCAGAGGAAGGGCCTAGTTGCAAGTCTCGACCAAGCAAATAAACACATGCTCTAGGAGAACACACAAACTAACAAGACATTTTTGTTTGCAACCAATGCCAACTTGCTGAAGGGGTATCGTTTTTTTGGACGTCCCGTATCGTTTTTCGAGCAACAACGCAAACACAATACGTGCATGAAACACCCCCATATAAAGTACATGACGGTAATTTTGATGCTAACTCATATATATATGAGGAGCGGGCGAAACACTTTACTTGGCCCTAGTACTTTTTTGAACGTTATCGTTTTTGGGGGAGACCTTATCGTTTTACAGTGTTTTCGAACTTTCGCAGATTCGGCTCGAAAATCGAAACTTTGTAGTACAAGACGCGAAATACACTTCCGCAGGTCCAGCTCGAAAATCGTAACTTTGTAGTACAAGTCTAGTACGAGAAGTACACTTCCGCAGCTCCAGCTCGAACATCGGCAACTTTGTAGCACAACTCTATTACGCGAAGTAACCTTCCGCAGCTCCAGCTCGAAAATCGCAACTTTGTAGTACAAGTCTAGTACGCGAAGTACACTTCCGCATCTCCAGCTCGAAAATCGCAACTTTGTAGTACAAGTCTAGTGCGCGAAGTACACTTCCGCATCTCCAGCTCGAAAATCGCAACTTTGTAGTACAAGTCTAGTACGCGACGTACACTTCTGCAGCTCCAGCTCGAAAATCGCAACTTTGTAGTAGCACAGCTCCAGCTCGAAAGTCGCAACTTTGTAGTACAAGTCTAGTACGAGAAGTACACTTCCGCATCTCCAGCTCGAAAATCGCAACTTTGTAGTACAAGTCTAGTACGCGAAGTACACTTCCGCAGCTCCAGCTCGAAAATCAGAAGTTTTTAGTACAAGTCTAGAACGCGAAGTACACTTCCGCAGCTCGAGCTCGAAAATCGTAACTTTGTAGTACAAGTCTAATACGCGAAGCGCACTTCCACATCTCCAGCTCGAAAATCGCAACTTTGCAGTACAAGTCTAGTACGCGAAGTACACTTCCACATCTCCAGCTCGAAAATCGGCAACTTTGTAGCACAAGTATACTACGCGAAGTACACTTCCGCATCTCCAGCTCGAAAATCGCAACTTTGTAGCACAAGTCTAGTACGCGAAGTACACCCAGCACCCGCATCTCCAGCTCGAAAATCGCAACTTTGTAGTACAAGTCTAGTACGCAAAGTACACTTCCGCAGCTCCAGCTCGAAAATCGCAACTTTGTAGTATGAGTCTAGTACGCGAAGTACACTTCCGCAGCTCCAGCTCGAAAATCGCAACTTTGTAGTACAAGTCTAGTACGCGACGTACACTTCTGCAGCTCCAGCTCGAAAATCGCAACTTTGTAGTGCAATCCTAGTACGCGAAGTACACTTCCGCATCTCGAAAATCGCAAGTTGGTACTGCAAGTGTAGTACGCGAAGTACACTTCCGCAGCTCCAGCTCGAAAATCGCAACTTTGTAGTACAAGTCTAACACGCGAAGTACACTTCCGCATCTCCAGCTCGAAAATCGCAACTTTGTAGTACAAGTGTAGTAAGCGAAGTACACTTCCGCATCTCCAGCTCGAAAATCGCAACTTTGTAGTACAAGTCTAATACGAGAAGTACACTTCCGCAGCTCCAGCTCGAAAATCGCAACTTTGTCGTGCAAGTCTAGTACGCGAAGTACACTTCCGCAGCTCCAGCTCGAAAATCGCAACTTCTCAGCACAAGTGTCGTATTTACGAAGCACACCTTGGCAGCTCCAGCTCGAAAGTGGCGACTCGCCTTCCCGTTTTACGGTGGCCACGCAAGGGTCCCACCCCATCTAAGTTGCAACTGCACGGGTTATTATAGAGCCGTGTTTTAGCTAAGGGTTATCGTTTTTGGGGGAGACCTTATCGTTTTCCATGGTTTTGGCATGTGTTATGCAAAAACGTACCCCGCCTTGATAAAGTGGTCTTCGTGTGTTTTGTCCGTGGCTCATATATATATAACCTATATGGCCCTTGGGGCTGGTTTCTACGTCGGCTGGATTTCTGGATTTCTGGATCTCTGGATTTCTGGATCTCTGGATTTCTGGAATTCTGGATTTTCCACCCCCTCTCCCCCCCCCCCCCCCTCCCCCCCCTCCCCCACCCCCCCCACTAATCCGGCTTCTCCCAATAATCTTCCGTAATCTTTCGGCTTCTTCCCGTAGTCTTCCGTAGTCTTCCGGCTTCTTCCCGTAGTCTTCCGTGGTCTTCCGCCTTCTTCCCGTAATCTTCCGTAAGCTTTCGGCTTCTTCCAGTAGTCTTCCGTAGTCTTCCGGCTTCTTCCCGTAGTCTTCCGTAGTCTTCCGTAGTCTTCCGGCTTCTTCCCGTAGTCTTCCGAAATCTTTCAAGCTTCTTCCCGTAAATTTCCGCAATCTTTCGGCTTCTTCCCGTAGTCTTCCGTAATCTTCCGGCTTCTTCTCCTAGTCTTCCGATACTGTTTCGGGACCAAACAACGCGCGTGTCCTGTGCTTTCGGGCTTCTTCCCTAGGCTTCGGGTAGTCTTCCCCCACCCCTCCGCCCCCCCTGTGTCTGTCTATGTCTGTCTACGTATCTGCATCTGTCTTCGTGTCCGCGAAGACCCCCCCTGCCCCTGCGTGTCTGTCTGCGTCTCTTTGTGTCTGTCTGGGTCTGTCTGCGTCTGTCTTCGTGTCCGCGAAGACCCCTTGCGTGTCTGTCTCTGTCTCTTTGTGTCTGTCTGTGTCTGTCTGTGTCTGTCTACGTATCTGCGTCTTTCTTCGTGTCCCCCCCCCCCCCGCGTGTCTGTCTGTGTATTTGTGTCTGTCTGGCTCTGTCTGCGTCTGCCTGCGCATCTGCGTCTGTCTTCGTGTCCGCGAAGACCCTCCCCCCCCGCTGCGTGTCTGTCTGCGTGTCTTTGTGTCTGTCTGTGTCTGTCTACATATCGCGTGCTTTCTCTCGTCCCGGGCCGAAATTCTAAGGGGTGTGGGGGCGGCGGAACCAGGCCGCAGGCCATTAAATACGTGAAGCCGGGCCGGGAAGCACCTGTTGGCCATCTGGCAAAAAACAACGCGAGTCCTGGTGGCTCCCTGAGTTCCCAAAGGCTGAAACAAGTTGGCATCTCGTTTTCTGGTACCTCATTTCCAAGGCCCGTGCCACGAATAGAGCCTATGTCAACCCCCTCCCCCCCAAAAAAAAACTCACACAAATGAAGGATGGTGGTTGGAAAGGCCAAGGGTCGACCATATCCCCTCGTTTCAGTTGGATTTCGACAGCCACTTGGTCAGATCTCGAAATGTCATCGTTTCCCACACTCGCCCAGTCCGTTGGGCAGGCAATACTTCACGTGGCTCAGAGTGGAGTAGATGAACCTTGCGAGCCAACATTCACAGGTCCGTTGGCACTTCTATAATTGCTGCTCGGGGGAGGAAAAAAAAAAGTGATTCTGACAGCATGATACTAGCAACTACAAATCATGAAGGTGTCTGCTTTATTTGTTCCGCTAAAATATTCCACCGGTGAGCGGGGAAACTGCTGCGACCAAACATGGTGCGCTACTGGCAGAGTTCGCTATCGGTCTTCAAAGCTTTTGTGCGCATCCCTGACTGTTGTGCCTGTTCAGTCGCCTACCGTTGCTCCTGCGCTGAAACACGTCCGTATTGTGGGTGTACCATTTCAGAATTTCTGACCCGGCCTCTCGCATTGTTGCAGATTAGAAAACTATGCTGTGTAGAAAATTGACGGGGAACCTTGCTTTCTTGCTTGCAACATGCGCTGTGCAAGAGTTGAACCCCGACAGGTAAGTCCAGTGGAGACAAGCTGTGCTTTGCAGAGGGGATGTCTAGAGGACCTAGCCCAACGCATAGACCTTCATTGCGCATTGCTTTTCAGTGGGAGTCTGTTGAGTGCCAGAAATGTACACTGCTCTGGCTCGGATCCAGCTACAGTAAGAGAGAGTCCCTTCAACTTACGATCACCTTACACCTGATTGGTGGTTTTGTTTGGGTGTCAGGCGATACCTTCCCTGTCAGAAGGTGGGGTACAAATCTCTCATTTCTTTTTAAACCACTCCAAACCTTTCATTTGCTTAAGGCCCCCAGGAAAAAATTAGAAAATATGTCCAGTAGTGAAATCGGTTCCCTTTAAAACCAACAGGGGAAATATCACGACTTTTCATTTCAGCAAATGGAAGAAACACCATTTCCCACAATTCCAGTGATAGATTCCCTTGAAGACAGAACACAAATATTCATTTCAGCACACGGACGGTGTCTCGTACGTCCGTCCGCAACCGCCCCAAACGCTTCGCGCACTCCACAATGGAAGAAACCGCAGCAATTGAGGGACACTTTTACCCCCAACAGGAGGTACTTAGACCCCTTTCTACCCCCCCAAAAGCCACCCGCAAGGAGGTACCAAGGGACCCTCTGGGAAACCGCGGCAATTGAGGGACACTAGCTGCTTCCGCTCCGCTCGTCTTGAGTCAGTCTCTTAAAGCTTTGGTCCCGCGTGGCTTGCAGCAAGCGCTCTGCTCGCTGTTCTTCTCGTTGCATAGCTTGCAGCAAGTGGGAGTCGGAAGATCATACTGTGCATGGACAAAATCCGTTTCACAGCACCCAAGACAGCATGGGACACCATTGTTTGTTGGTGTTTACGGGGGATCATTCTAGAGTTTCTTAGGTGGTGCGAAACGGATTTTGTCCATCCACGGTAGATCGGCAAAAAACAAATCTGCGCTGGTGCCACTTCCGCGCCATTGCCCTGGGGGGGCGGCAATGACACTGAAAGGTGCTCGATTTGCGCAAAATCACATGCCACATGCTCAACTCTCTCCTTTTGGTGTCCCTTCAAAGGAGACCCCTGGATTGCTGGGTGTGTCTTTGAGCCCAGGGGTGAAACTTCAACCATCTCTCACGTGGTATTGAGGTTCATGGGTGGGGGTTCTGCATCGGGAAAAGTACAGGAGAACGGAAAGCCTGATTCAAATAGGCCACGGAACCCCACCTAGATTTCCCGGAAGCTGGACAAATAATGACATGGGGGCTTCCTGAAAATAAGGGACTTCTTTTTGGATTTTGAGAGTAATCCGGATATTCCCAAATTGGAAATTAAGGGAACCCCCCCCCAGACCTTCAGAACTTTACATGTGTAAGCTAGTTTAAGCTTCAGAACTGCTTGTAATTTGCCTAGGCAACATGGATATGTCAAACAGTTATGTCCACCAACCATTTGAGGGTATTGGTCATTCGAAATCATAGCCACATTATGTCCTGTCCCCCCATTCCTGGGCTCATCTCAGGGGTCGGATTCTGCCACATACTTATGGTACAATACAATTGCAATTGCAATATACTATCATTTAGCTGGGCTGTCCTCAGATCCCCCGCCAAAAGCTTAACTTTTGGTGGGTTAAATGGAAATTCCCGCTAAACACTAAAAGGCTAGAAAGCTAAGGAACCGGATGGCTGGGAGCCACTAAGATTATAATATAATTTAGGAGGAGACTCCAAATGTGGGCCGTGGTGGAATCCCTTTGTTTGGGACCTTTCCCATTCCGGTGTCCACATTTGGAAGGCGACACATCGGAGCAAGGCCCAACAAGCCACTATATGGAACCACGTGTGAGATGGTTCCCTATTGAAACTCACGGCCATCCACAAAAACAGAAGCCCCCTAAAAAAGAAGGAGCCCCCTTGAAATGTTGGCTTTTGGGCTTCCCTTCAAAACCAGACAAAAAAAAAGGGAGCCCCCTAGGAAAAGAACACACACACAGCTTGACAACCGGACAATCGGAGCACTTGCAAAAACTCACGCGCACACACACACACACGAATTTTGACCACCGGCCATCCTTCGGCTCGCTTTGTGCTCAAGCGCTCGCAAGCGGCAAGCGCTCGTCTCAGGCCCCGGGCACGCCGTTCTCATCCCAGGCGCCGCTCTTCACCCGGATGTTCTCGTGGAAGGAGTGGTAGTACCTGAGATCGCTACCCCCAAAGAGGAGCAAAAACGATAAGGTATTTACCTGCACCCGGGTGCCAACACCCCCCCCCAAACAAAAGCCTTTTGGATGGTACTTGTAAATTTGGACATGGACAAAAACAAGTTGTTGGTGGTGAATGTGACTCTATGTGGTCTATCCAGCTACTGTTTCTTCACATTGTCCCTGAGTGACCTTCACTGATGCGAGTTTTGGTTGCACTGAGTGCTGTGGAGTCACTCGAAACCTGGCATTGATGGACAAAATCCGCTTGGCATCACTAGGTAGATTAGCCGATTCATCCAGGTGCAAGACGACCCCAGTGGTGCCTCTTAGAGGTCCGACTTCAGTGACACTGTCGCAACATCTTCGGTGTGTCACGGATCGTCAAACCTGACAAGTCTCCTTGCGGGCCATCCACCTAAATAACAGCCGAAGGTTGGCTCGCATCGTTAAACCCGTGGCTTCAAGATTCTGAGTACAGGAATCGGACTCTGGATAAAAAAGGCGGAGTTCCGCTCAAGAATCAGATGGAGCACTCTCTGGCCTAAAAGGAAGCCGGTGGTGCCCCCTTTGACTAGTTGGGGTGTAAAACGTTTTTGGGCCAGAAAAGCCTACGCATCCTGACCTGTACCTTGATCAAACGTACACTTTTTCGGGTGTTCCAACAGAACAACTGAACGGATCCGCTGAAATTTTGAGTGTGTCTCCAAACGGGGTATCATGGAACTTTCCAAAATGGCTGGCGTCCCTCCGGGTTCCCTTCAGAACAAAGCTCTGCGTTTCTTGGGTGCTCCTCCTGCATGCGCTTTAGTGTGCCATGCTCTTCTTATTTCTTGTTGGTGCGATAGGTAGGGAATGACAACGAGTGTAGGGAATGAGCCGTTTGGAGATTTCCTTAAAAGAAACCATGGGATGGATAGTTTATAGAAAACATTCCCTCATTCACTGCTGAGAACCAGCAATTTGTTAGTGGTTCCCAAAAGGAGATCACCTTTGACTTCCAACTCTCTAGGCATATTCCGACGACAATTTATTACAAACGGACTCACACAGTGATATATGTTCTGAAAGGCCACTATACCAGGACACCTTGCTGGACCTGGAAGTAAAGCTCAACCTTTTGGACCCAAACATGGTTACCCAATCAAGCAATCAAAGAAATAAAAAGAAAACTCGATTTTTGCCTCGGCTCGCGGCTCGCACGGACTTTTTTTGGGGTAGTTGACTTCAACAGGCACCTGATCACTCTGGCCTCCAATCCCCTGCTAGAACTTTAACTTTTAAATTTCATACGGCAACCTAAGTCGGAGAAGCCCCCAGAAATCCCGGGTTTCTTCCATCCTTGCCGCACAGAACGGCCTTCAATGGGCAAACGGATTGGCCACTGAGTTCACCCAAATTCCCAAACGGGCTGGGTCCCGAGCTCCAGGTTTTTCCCCGCCAGCAGGACCTCGAGGCGCGTCTCTGGGATGCTGAGCCCAAGACCTGCTTTAGGGTCTCTGGGGGTCAAAGGCCGTCTTGGGCTCCTAGGTTGAATGGAGCTAGCCAGTGTTTCTTAGGCTTAGGGTTTCTTGGGTGGTGCGAAACGGATTTCGTCCATCCACAGTAGGTCCTCCAGATTTGAGAGGTTAGAATCAGGGTACAAACCTTTTGTTTCTTTCTTCCTGTAGTCTATTTTAGTAAGGGAACCCTCCCAAGCAAATAAGAAACTGATGAGAGGTCAGGCACCAATTGATGGGGACCTAGTTCGGGTCTTGGGCTCCCAAAATTGGAAGTTTACTGGAAGCCAGTTGCTTCCATTGAAGCTTCTTCGCCTGGACAAAAAGGAGAAAATATGGGTGTGGGTCAAAATTCAACCACCAGGAATTGGACCACAGGTTTTAGTCATTGTTTCCAGACCCACGGCCACATGTCAAGTAGTGATAGGTTCTCTTTAAAACCAACAGGGGGAGAAAAACACCTAAGCAACTGGAAAGTCATTTGCTTCCAAAACAGTGGGAAAAGGGGTACAAATCAAAGCCGTGAGAGATTCTTTCTGATTTCCCCCAAAAAAGAAGCAAAGATCAGCTTCTACTAAGGGGAGGTCTTAGGGGCGTAGCTCTACATAGACCCAGGGCTTGATCCATATCTGGCCCCAAACGAATTCTCCCGATGCTTTTTGGCACACACAGAAACCTTCTATGAACAGGTGGTTTACTCAATTTTGGGTGAGAAAGCAGGATGGCTGAAGGAATAAGACATCTCCAGTGGTGATGAATTCCTTTTTAAACCCAACGAGGGAAAACTTAAAAATACTCTTAAGCAAATAACTGCTTGCATCTGAATTCGGAGTCCGGTCAGGAGCTGTTGTGCCCCACCAGCACATCAGCGATGTACAGAACCAAGGAGGGAAAAAAGAACACAACAGCACAGCCACCAACTCGTTGTACCCCACGGCTCATGTTGTGCAAACTTGGTCGGTAAAGTGGCGTATAGGACTAATCCAAAACGAGGATTTATGAACCGCCTCGCTCGCTCGCGCCAACGATCGAGGGCCCGGCATTGTGCTTGGACATGAAGGCCACATAGGCACCGTTCTGCGACCAAACCTGATTGCCGCAAGGCCGTTTGCAGGTTCCATCCTGAAAAATATTCCGACGTTAACCAGCACCCGGGTCCCAACTTAGTTACTTCCCACGTCCAAATCTCTAAGCACTGTCCAAAAAGCAGTTGTTTGGGGGTGCTGGAACAAATGGGTGTGGGTCAAACAAATACACTTTTTTGGCCACCCCACTTTTGTTTGGTCCATGTTAAAAGGGAATCTGGGGGGTAGGGGGGGAGGAGGAGACCAGGTTTTTGACCCACAGCAAAATCAACACGAGTCGCTGCAACCACAAGTATGGGGATGGTCAACTTGGTTCAACTTCCATCGTGGTCACTTTTTGGAGTTGTTAATGACCCTTTGGGTGCGGATTTATTTTGAGATCTTTGTTCGTTATTTTTGTTGCACCCGCTTTTCGTCTTGGCCAGCAACATGTCGTACCCTCCATACCCCTTTTTTTGGTGGCAAAGCAAAACCAAAAGGAAGGACTCCACCGGGGTATTGAAAACTCCTGTTTGGTGCCTGGTGCCTTTTCTCACCCCAAAGGACCTGGAAATCCGCCGACCCTCTGCCTCCCGTCCCAGCCTCCTGCAGAGGGGGCCGGCGTGGGATGCAACTGGAAGTGATTGGAATTAATGATGGTCCCTGGGGGGCACGCCCGAAAGTACAAAAAGTGGATTCCCAGGACCGGTCCCGGGACCGGTCCCGGGACCGGTCCCAGGACCGGTCCTGGGACCAGTCCTGGGACCGCTTTGGATTGCTCCGGTCCTGGGGCCGGTCCTCGGACCAGTCCTGGGACCGGTCCTGGGACTGGTCCCAGGGTCCTCGGACCAATCCTGGGACCGGTCCCAAGTCCCGGACCGGTCCTGGGACTGGTCCTGGGACTGGTCCCGGCCAGGACCGCTTTCAGGACTGGTCCCAGCCGCTGGTATCGGATCCCACTTCAAACCGCTGCAGAAACCCGGTGCCACCTCAAACAGCTCCAGACACCTGCTTTTTCAGTGTCGCTGTTTCCGGACTGGCACCCGTGTTTCAGGACCGGACAGGGTCCCAAGTCCCAGTCCCTCCCTGCGACCGGTTGAGGGGCACCGACGACCTTGTTTCTAGGACCAGCTCAACGTGACTTGGGCGCGAGCCGGCCCGTGCGGTCATTGACGGACGAGCTGCCGCCTGTCTGACTTTTCCGCTAATCCTTGTGGTAGTAGAGGATCCCTGGATCTACTGCCGGCGACCGGTCCAGGGCCACTAGGGCCACTGTCGCCGGGGCAGTTTCGGGAGGGCCAGTTTCAGGGCGACCCGGGACAGGCGACTGCTCCCGGGCCAACTCGAAGTGACTTGGGCGCAAGCCGGCCCAAGCGGCAATTAACGGACTAGCTGCCATATTTCTGATTTTTCCGTTAATCCTTGTTTGTGGTCGTAGAAAATCTTCTAAGTGGTCCCTGGGTTTGCGGACGTGTTTCAGGACCGGTCCTTGTGACTTTTCCCTTAATGCGCCGAGGGTCGGCGGCAGCAGGCGGGAGCCTGGTTATACAAGGTTAGCCTGGGACCTTGACTAAATATGGATCACCAACATAAGACCAAAGGTCAAACACTTGCTGGTGCTCAGTAGGGAATGAGGGAATGAATCCAGAGGTCCGGTCGGTCTTGGACAACTGAGTTTTAAACTTGCTAGTGCTCAGTAGGAAATGAGGGAATGACCCCTATAAACCGTCCATGACCGTCCATGGTGTCCTTTCTTCGGGAATGCCCAGGTTCATTCCATTTCTCATTCCCCTATCGCACCAGCGCCATCTGTTTGACCCCATCCACCGAGGGGATTTAAGCAAACGGAGGGTAGGGAATGACCTTTCCAGGTTTTAGGAATGACCGTTCCAGGTGTTGGGAATGGAAGGGGATCCCTTCCAAGAACACCACCAGAAGTGTATATTTTTCCTTTTTCGCCGTCGTTCCAAGTCTGATTCCCTGCCATCCTTAGGAGCTAGTCAGCTTCCCTATCTGGGTATGGGTCAACATTAAACCATCAGGGGACCGCAGGTTCTGGTACATGTTTCCATTTACCAGGGAACCGAACCCTGGGTGCCGATTTTTGACCCACACCCATCTGTTTGACCACTTTATCCACCGTATCCCGACAGCGACCGAGATGGGTCTCCGGGCCACGTACCGCACGCCCCCCGCCACGCTGACTTCATCCACCGTCTTCCGCGCTGTCAAGTCGTACATCACGACCTCCGACACCAAACCGCTGCAGCCAAACCTGTAAAAGCGAAAAGCCAAAAAGACATGCGGCACTGAAATGAAGGGACACCACCATGAGAAACACAGCAGTTTTGCCCGTCTTGTTTTCCTTGCCCCCATTTTGTGTATGTGTGTGTGTGTTTGGGGAGCAACCAACCACATTATAAATTGTTATGCACATTGTGGTTTTCAATCTCACGTGACCAACTCGATGGCATTGATGTGACTTAAACTTTGCAAGAATTTCAGGTGTGCCTTGCGGCCTTGCGTTGTGGCGAGTGTACTCCATCCCCTTCTGCTTTAAATCGATCAACACCCCCCCTTATTGCCCGAAAATAAACCTCTATAGCAGTGCTACAATCAACAGTCATTCGCTGATCTTAAGCACACTAGCACCTGCGCGGGTGACTTGTCATTGCCATCTTGGCACAAGTTTGGGGTGTGAACTGCTCGCTCGTCCGCTGGACCAAAATGCGAATCACGCTGGTCCTGATCCTCTCAAACCAGCTGCGTCACGTTGAGCCACGAGAGGTCTCGTGGTTTTGATCAAGGCCGCTTTCATTCAGCACGCCGAAATGTTCGTTTCCTGAACCTGGTTTCCCTTTCTGGGTGGAGACGGTAGGAAGCATGGATCCAAGACAAGGCTTCCAACTCGATTTGCCACCGTTGGCGGGTTTGAACATCATTTGGGGTTCAAAGTGTCATTCCTTTCAGTGGGATGATGGTTTTTGACTTTAAGAGAAGGTGAAGGTGAACAACAGGACCCCCCGAAAAAATTCCAAAGGTCCACATGCGGAAACCTATTTGGGCCTTGCCGCCTTAAAAACTTAGGCCGCATCTTCCCAGGGCCGCGGAAACGGGTGCTATCTTCGTCCGCTGGACGAAATCCTGGCACCTAAAAGAAACCCGAGTGATGATTGCCCAGGGGAAATACCAAATATATAACAGATGCTTTCTCATGGTTTCCAAAGTGGTGGCGAAATGGGCTTCGCGACCATCCGCAGTATCGGCTTCTGGGAATCTATTGTGGAGCTGTGCCTTTCCTCGACCCCTGGGGGTCGCAGCAAACCATTGCTCGCGGGTGAGTTCCACCCAACAGGACTCCAACCCATGGCTTCAATAACGAGAGCGTGCTGTAACCACGCCGCAAAGTATTGGCAGTGACCGCGCCGAAAAATGAGCAGCTACCGCTGTGTTTGGCCTTGTTACCCCTGTTTTTCTGGCGGTGTTACCGCTGTTTTTGGCGGTGTTACCGCTGTTTTTTGGCGGTGTTACCCCTGTTTTTTGGCGGTGTTACCTCACCATCTTCTCACGAACCGTACAAAGTGTCAGAGGCTGCCCAAAGAAATGGGACCCCGACAGGCGGCTTCCCTTTAGCTTCCCAAACAACCTGTAACTTCCCGAGTGGATGGCCCAACCAAAAGGAACCGACACTGTTTCTTCGCCACTAAACTAGGCTGGAAAAAAGGGGCCCCGGCAAGCTACTGAAAGTCCCTACTGAAAAACCAGCTCAAGACCTCGCCTTCTCCTCGCTCTTCAGCAGGATGCGGTTGTTGCCGCCTGCGGCCATGAGACCACATGGACGACCCAAAACTGGGGTCTAGGGTCCACCTTTCTCAAACATGAGCTCTACCACCTTGAACAGGGCTGGGGGAAATGGAATCCACGAATCTGTGATACAACGAAAAGGGCTTCTTTCAAAGACTAACCCGCGACATAAAGAGAAGACTCCCTTGTATCACAGAAGTGGGGGAAAACCGTTTGATCCCACAACAACCCTGACCTTGAACCATTTCTAAACCACCATCAGGTACTTATTCACCATCTACAGCCCCTCACCAAAGCCATCCTAAACCAAAGCTCACCCCGGGGTATACTCGTGTTGTGCCTCTGGACTTCGAGTTTCGTTTCGGGGCCCCACGGTGTCAACAGCTCTTATTGGTCTTGCTTCGTGGATTAGAAGTCCCCACAATGGCTTCTTTGGGCATGTCTTTGTATTCTAAAGCAAGTATTGCAAGGGGCTCAATGAACACAAAAACATGAGGCTTGCTTTCATAGTGCCAAAAGTCACCATGAGAAGTGCAGCTCCTTTGGGAAGCCCAGGCCCGGCATCTGCGCCCGGAGTGTGGATCCATCGTAACCAGGAGAACCACACTTTCCTTGAAATAAAAGGTTAACCTTTTGGCAACTCTACTAACATGGACCAACATGGGAAAACCAAAAGGTCGAAAAGTCGGCTTTGGGCAACTGGGACTTCCCTTTAACTACTCAGTTGTTCAGTGACCCTGGAAAAAAACAAGGGAACCCTTTTTTTGGGAAGACCGAAGTTTTAGTGGGGCAGCCACCAAAAAAAAGGGAAAAATAATCGGTGCCACTGCACAACTGAGACTAGCAAAAGGAACACGGCGCTCTCCAAATCCCTGGGAACCACTGGGTTAGCAGGGATCCTTACATTATACACCTGAAAATTGCAACTTGTAAATGGTGGTTTCCCTTTATTTTGGCGGAAAAGGCCATGTCTCAAATGGTTGCAAAGTGTATCTTTTAAGGAGCCCGGGTTAGACAACTCTTGAATTGCTCAATCGGGCAAAACAGGGGCCCCCAGCGCGGCAATGGAGCAGATCTGAGTGGCAAGTTCTGGGCCAGAGCCTAAGTTGTTGGCTTCAAACTACGGGGGTCACTGGGCTTCCTCTTCAAAAGCTGCAGTTTGCTGGGTTCCAACATTGCTACTTTGGGACACTGAGTGACAAAAGGGGTAGCTTTTGCAAAAGGGACATTGAGTAGCAAAAGGACAAAAGGGTAGCAATGGACAAAAAGGTAGCTGGGTTCCAAAAAAGGGACACCCCTGAACTGCGAGGGGGCTCTTGCAAACCTCCGTTTTCTCCTAAAACACCCTTGTGGTTCTGAGTCTCAGGATAAAAAACTCGCCACCCACCCCACCTGGAAAAATATAGTCCGTGGAGACAGGCGGGTCGAACTTCTTGGACAGCTCATTCTGCAGGTTGTAGATGCCTCGGGCGCGCTTTCATGAAGGATTCCTTGGTCAACATTCAAACCCAAACCTAGGATTTGTAGATGTTCTTTGTTCATCATTTTAGCCAAGGACAAACATGTAAGATGGTCCCAAACGTTGACCCAGATTCATTTGAGAGTTTTGATTCCGCGGCTTCGCCCTGTTTCTTTTGGACCTCGTCTTCCAATGAGCTGGGAGGGCTAACAGGGGCAGGCATGGTCATGGATTTTCATGCTCCATCGTCGGATCTATCAAGGGGGCTGGGCCGGGGGGGAGGGGGGAAGGGGAGCCCAAATAAGCCTCAAATAAGGCCTCAAATAATTTCCCCTCCCCCCAGCGCCCATGAATCTAAGGTTGGTGTGGCTTGACCTTTTGGACATTAGAATCCGGTGGAGATTCATGTCCACCACCTGCTTTCGAGGTGTGGAACCCATATCAAGACTCATTCCTAGCTAGGGTTCAACCCCCATTAAAAGAAAGGTTGACCCAATTTGGATGATGACAATCCTTAGGAAAACAATGGTGGTCAAAAATGAACCCCAATTGTTTTAGTGGTGGTTTCAACCCCAGGGTATTGCTTCCTTACTGGGCGCTTGCGCGTGTCTGGGGCCAGTGTCCCCGAATGAGCAAAGATCTAACACCTGCTGCCGGCCGATATACAATGGCCATACGACTTGCTGAACAACCAGGCAATCCGCTTGAAGTCAAACACCATTGGCAGGCTGAACGGACAATCGTCACACAGCTCTTGTACGCTGCAACTGAGCAACCCAAACATGTCGAGAATGTTTAGCAGGTGAAACATGGAACACCCCATTGCTTTCAAAAGATCTAACCGAGTCGGATCCCAATGACCACCAAGCATCGCGCGTGCATCCGAGCATCGGCTCAGATGCTACGAGATTGATGTTACATCAAGAATATTCACGGCATGATCCTGGAAACATCATCATTGGACATCATGGGACCCCCCTGGATCTACCTTCTTTTGGACATCACTGGTATGTGCAGTGTGTTCGGTCCTTTTTTGGGGGCCAATATGTATATATATATATGTATATTTATATATACACAGCGAAAATCATCACACCGTCAGGCATGTCTAACTTTAATCCCGAGCAGCATAGTCGCTGGCAGGTTACGCATTTCATCGGACCGTGCGCCCACTCATGGTCATACTAGCAACGTTCCCATTGTGTTTATGTCATGTGCGGCATGCTGCTCGCTTTTTGGAACTTCTGCTCAGTTCCTATGATACGTTCGCAGCAGTCGAGTAAAACTGGGTGGCCATCTGATTTCCGTGACGCCTGTCTTGGATCATCACATAAATGTGTGCCCACTGCGCACGGCTGCACTGGGGAATCCATTTCAACTGCTTTGCAATGAGCCGAATTCTAAACCATGTCTCACGTAGCGACACATTGCAAATCATAGGAAGCCCTAGATTCAGCGCCAAGGGATCCAAAGATATTTGGAAGGTTCCCCAGCGTTGCAGGTTCCGCGTGCCAACGGCAGCTAACGACACATCTTCCCCAAAAAACAGGCCATGACAACTTAGAGAACCCGGTTGGGCACCTTTTACCCCCAGCTAAAATTCAAAATCGACACACAACTATTAAAATCAGTCAGAGGTTTAAAAAAGATCGGTCGAGGATGAGCTGGAATAACATCCCAAACTGAAGCATCCACTTGAACGCTTCCATGAGGGGAATTGGCTGTGGCTCAAAAAATCTGGGACCAAAATGCATGGACCAACACCCGCGTAACCCCTCCTGATTAATTCTGAGCCCCAGCCAATTCCCGAAACCCCAGCCTTGCTTCGTCAGAATTGGATCGTGCCAATTGGCGTTAATTGTTGTTGGTGCCCTTTGGCTTGGAGGGAAAGGCAACAACGTTTGTTTGGAGTACCCTTTTGTTGCTGGTTCGATAGGCAGGGAATGAGCAAATGACCCGTACAAACCATCCCCTACGGCTTCCTTTAAGTGAATCCCCAGATTCCTTCCCAACACCCGAAACGGTCATTGCCTGTCTATCGCGCCCGTAAGTCACTAATTTCTGAAGGAAAGCAACGGGAAACTTGTCACACGTAATGTTGACCCCTCCAGTCCGCCTGAAGCGAGCCTGGAAGGCCAAAGCCGGAAAGCGGTCAGATCCCTTCAAGAAAGGGATCTCGGTCAAGTTCCCCAGTAAAACGCACACCAGTCAAGAAACCGATCAATTCACCCCTAGAAGCCGGTCAACTTCCTGTCCCCAACCCTCAGATTCCCCCTCTCACAGCCGGTCCAACTCCGGTCAAATCCCGTCAATCTTTTTTCTTGTTAAAATTCCCCTCCAGAAACCTATCCAATCCCCAAAAAAACGTGGAAACCGACCAAGCCCAATCTCAGTGCCATTCTGTAGCTCTCTGCAGCTCACGCTCTGGCCCTGGAGGCCATGTGGAAACACGCAGACATGCACCCACCCTCTGCCTTGGAAACCAGCTCACGCAAACACAAGACTTCAAGGCAAACTGTTGCACGGTGTATGCCTCAAAGCCAGCCACAAGCGGAGTGAGGCGGGCAACGCGAAGCGTTTACAATTAAGCAACCCCGGTTGAGTAGTAGTAAGAGGGTTTGCTGGGTTTAGGGGCAGAATCATCACTTTTGGAGAGAAACACCCCTCTATTGACAAACATAAAATTTGCTCACAGGGATGTAGTTTTACAGCTCCAGTGCGTGCAAAACACTGTATCTACCCCGCGTTTCTGCATGTGAATGCCCATCAACAACCGCTCTCCAAAAGGGGTGCTCACAGCCTCTTTTAACAAACCGGGGTTGATTAATACTAGGTCCTCCAGTCGAGAGGTTAGAATAAGGGTGCCCTTTTTTCTGTAGTCTATTTTAGTACGGGAACCCTCTAAAGGGTAAAAGGGCACTACTGGGGGACCTAATGCGGATGATTAATCTTTTCCAGGGGCCGATGCCCCATTCTTTTCAGCCATCGTTCTTTTCAAAAACCAGCCATTTCCCCGGGTTTTGTTTTGGGGTTTTCTAGAAAGATTCGGATCCAATGGGGAAGTGACCCCTAGAAAACTCTGGGGTCAACATCACTTGGCGCTTCGGGCCTTCGTCTCAACCAGGGCCGGCGAGGCCCCCCCCCCCGAGGCCCAGGCCTACGGAACCGCCCGACTGCAGCACCGCGAAGCGGTTCCGCGCCGTGAAGCACACGGCCTGGCGACCGGAGCGAGCGGTCGAACGAATCGGTCAACCTCGCTCCAGAAACGGCCCGCTCGTTCCTTCTTCGTCTTCTTCTTTTTTGTGTTCCTCCATTTTTTTACGTCCCCTGACTCTTGGTTGTTAAACAAATCCAGTAGTGATACATTCCTTTTAAAATCAACTGGGGAAAATGTAACATATTCTTAACCAAATGGACGTTTAAGAATCGGACCCCCAATGATGGGGCTCTTTGTAGGTTCTCTTTGTCGCTTTTAAGGTTGGACCCCCTATGGTGGGGTTCTTTTGGATTTCCCTTTTAAAACCACGAAACAGAAGGGTGCCTTCAAAACAAGACACACCCAAATGGCTTGGATGGCTTCTTCCAAAAAGGTATATAACTCCGAACGAACCCAGCTTCTCTCCGGAAGCGGGCATACGATGACATAGGGGCAATTCGTTCGGAAATGGGAGTTCACCAAACTCCCATGTGGTCATGGGGTCAAAATCCCGTACCGCCAGTGAACATCCCAATCCCAACTTAAATTAGACTAAGATGGGTGGTGAATTCACCAATCCCCCAAAATGGTATCCCAAAACGGTTTTGACCACAGCCAAGTTTTCTTTCGGACATGGGAGCTCTTGCTCCTCAGGGTTCTTTTCTTTTTTCAACCATAGGTGTCCTTTTAGGGGAAATCCGCCGACCCTCTGCCTCCCGTCCCAGCCTCCTGCAGAGGGGACCGGCGTGGGATGCAACTGGAAGTGATTGGAATCAATGATAGTCCCTGGGGGAACACGCCCGAACCCACAAAAAGTGGATTTTCAGGACCGGTCCCGGGACCGGTCCCGGGGCCGGTCCTGGGACCAGTCCTGGGGCCAGTCCTGGGACCGGTCCTGGGACTGGTCCTGGGACCCTGGTTCTGCTGTTTCAGATTACTTGTAGTCAGCCAAAACCGGTCCTGGGACCGGTCCCAGGACCGGTCCCGGGACCGGTCCCAGGACCGGTCCCAGGACCGGTCCCGGACCTGAGGACCGTGTTTGGTCCTGGCACTGGTCCCAGGACCAGTCCTGGGACCAGTCCTGGGACCGGTCCTGGGACTGGTCCCAGGACCAGTCCCAGGACCGGCGGTTTGGTCCTGGGACTGGTCCCAGGACCGCTGGTCCTGGGACCGGTCCCAGGACCAGTCCTGGGACCGGTCTGGGAAGCCGGTCCGGGATCGAGTCCTGGTGTGACCGCTGCTATTGGGTCCCAATTCAAACTGCTGTGCTGCCACCTCAAACCGCTCCAGACACCTTTCCGGACTGGCACCCAGGACACTGGACAGGGTCCCAGGTCGTCACTCCCTGCGACCAAACCGGCCCGTGCGGTTATTGACGTCCTTGTGGTAGTAGAGGATCCCTGGATCTATTCTGCAAGAGAGTCCAATACGTCAAGTCAAACCGCGCCAGACTGGGACCAGCCTGCTGCCGGCGACCGGTCCAGGGCAACTTCGGGAGGGCCAGTTTCAGGGCGACCCCGGGAGAGGCGACTGCTCCCGGCCAACTCGAAGTGACTTGGGCGCAAGCCGGCCCAAGTGGTAATTAACGGACTAGCTGCCCTATTTCTGACTTTTCCGTTAATCCTTGTTTGTGGTCAACTTCGGGAGGGCCAGTTTCAGGGCGACCCCGGGAGAGGCGACTGCTCCCGGGCCAACTCGAAGTGACTTGGGCGCAAGCCGGCCCAAGCGGTAATTAACGGACTAGCTGCCCTATTTCTGACTTTTCCGTTAATCCTTGTTTGTGGTCGTAGAGGATCTTATAAGTGGTCCCTGGGTTTGCGGACGTGTTTCAGGACCGGTCCTTGTGACTTTTCCCTTAATGCGCCGAGGGTCGGCGGCAGCAGGCGGGAGCCTGGTTAATAGATGGCCCTGGTAGATGATTAAACCTCCAGGTAAACCAGGAATCGCCGACTATGTTTCGACCAAAACAACCAAAAACGACACCTATGATCTCAACTCTTATCCCAATCGGAATGGACTTGGCGATTGCCCGGGAGCCCGAGAGCTGGAGAAAGTGAGACTCCGGGCCCAAGTCCAATTTTCCCAAGGCAACATAAAATAGAAGAAAACCATATTATATATATATATATTTAATATATAAACATTAGGCGTCACCCCCCCTTTGATGGGCACTTAGGGTAAGATATGGTAAGATTATGTTGCGACCACCTTCTTTTGGGGTATTGGTTAGGGTTCTTGGCTGGGGGCCTTGGCGCGTCCCCCCCGGCCAAATTCCATTTTGGACTCGGGGCCCGATGCTTCTCGAACAAAGCTCGCGTTTCACGTTTCCCAGAGCCGGGCGATGTGTAGCGTCAAAACCAAGCAGCTGACTTGAACACCAAGGGATCTGCCCTGCGTTTTGTTGGTTCACACGCTGGAAGAACAGGGGCCGCATCTGACTTTGGGCCAGTGTTGCAAGGGACCAGTCTTCAGGGAAAGGCGCGTGAGTTGGTCAAGGCGCGTTCCAATCACGAGAACAAACCCCGCACCTGGCACCTCACCTTGTGGGTTTTGTCGGGTTTGTTCACTGGGGGAAGTCTTTCACTTTTGGTGGTTGACCATCAGCGACTTCAGCGAAAAGTGAGCAAGGGCGCCACTGAACCACTGGGATGGACTTGGGGTTGATCAAAAGGTCATTTAAATGGGAGGACCATTGAAAGAAGCCACTAAAAGTATGCGATATGTCCCACTAAATGGGACAACTACATACTCATGGTCTATTGACTCTATTGACACACACCCTACTGGAAGTGTGGACTAAACCTCACGCGCGCGCACGGGTGCTCTTTTCGGCTCGAGCACTTCGCTTCGCCTGCACAGCCAAGTGAAGCCAGCCCGAAAGGCAAGGCAGCGCAAAAGACCTGGATGGGTTATGCTAGTTCACCAACCCCCAAAATGCCCAAATGACTACTCCGGAATCCAGACAGAGCTTGACCAAGCAACAGAGGGGTGCAAGCAATCCCAATCAAAACACTGCTTGTATGATGAAAAAATGGGCTCACTGCCACTCATGAACAGTTTTCAACTGGTTGCAAATCCACAAGCAAACAGATCAACTCGTCAGATGTCTCGTGAAGTCTTCAGATGTCTCTTTCAGTATGCTCCGTAAACTTGAACTTCCGGTATTTTGCGAAAACCAACTCAAGCCAAGTACAAATGCACGACATCCGCGCCAATCATCGCCACAGTCGTGAGTTGTCCGATGACTCAAATCGGCTTTCGCTCATCCCGACTCGTGCCGATCGGCGAGCGGATTTTGTCCATTGAGATGCGGTGGCGGTTGTGCCAGAGTCTTCCCAACGCCATGCGGTGCAAAGTGTAAAGCTCGTACAGCTTACGCAGTGCATAACATTTACATGTCTGAAACTCATGTTTTTGAAGCTTGAAGCTGGCCGGGGAGTGCAGAGAGACGGCCAATACAAACTACTAGCTTTGGTATTTGCAGGGTTCTTCGTGCAAAAGGAAACGCCATGGCAACCCGCAAGGTGCGGTTTGAAGCATCCAAGCGGACATCTTGGGACCCCACAGGACTGGTATAGAAAAAAAAAAAAAAAACGATCCTAAGATAATAGTTTCTAAGGTGTTGGATATGGGTGATATTGTTGGATTAGTGGAAACCGCAAAAAACTAAAAACCTTAAGAGAGAAGATATTGAACAAAATGAAAAGAAACAATGCTCTGGCCCTGCCTTCCTTCTGAGCGAAAACGCAAGGGCGCAGGCACACAAGGGCGCACAGCTACACAAGCACGCCCCCGGCACACAGTAGGCCAATGATGCACAAATTGGGCACAGTTGCTGCCATTCCTACATGAAACCATCGCATGTGGTTTTCCTTGGGCTTCCCTCTCAAACTGAGAAGGGACCCTCAAATATACAACACACACACACCAGCACTTCACATTCACAAACATCTAAATAGTAAGTGCGGTTGCTTCATTCGCCATGTGTGCACCATTCGTAGCTGCTGGGTGCCTTACCAAGCATTCACCCTGGCATATGCTCCTCGCCCATGCTTTGCATCAGTGGGGAAGAGGCCAGGAAAAACAAAACTTGCGGTCACACACACACATGTTGCCCCCTCTGGGCCTGAAATTTGATTGGGACCCTTTAATGGACGGGATGTGGGTTGGGATTGGTTTCCACCAACCCCTTTGGACATTCCGTATCAAAGTTCTCAGCCAAGCAGTCAAGCACTTGTGGTTGATTTAAACTCAGGCTGAAGTCCCAGCTATTTATTCAGCTCGTAGTACTTTCAGGCAAAGCCCCTTACTTTCTCCAAATCTCCACTTTGCCAGTCCTTAGGTCCCAGCCGAACCGGCTGAATCGGCCACACAAATTTCGCCGGGTCCGGGCTCCGAGTCAGCATCAGGTGGCCAGAAGGTTGGGCAGTGGGCAGAGGTCCGGCAGAACCATGCGGCTCCGCGCCTCCGTGCCTCATGGCTTCGGGCTGAATCCCGCGCTCGCCAGGCGGCGCTAGGGGTGGAAAAAAAATAAAAACCGCGCTCAGCGGGCCCCTTTGGCGCTCTCAAAATGGGCGAAAAAAAACAGCTCTGCGAAAGTCGACATGGTTTGGTCTCATCCTCTTTGGCCTCATGAAGAGTGATTCATTTTGACCCCATAAAATTCAACCCCAGGTCACCAATAGGGGGTGGTCCCTTCCAAAAGTGGTGAATTACCACTACTACCAGATACACCCACCATTTCTAAACTGGAGTCGATTAATATGAGGTCAACATTGCGGCTGCAAAACTTATACCAAACAAATCCGGCAACAAGCAGCCCAATTGGACTCCCTCATTTTCGGAGATGGGACTCCATCTCGCTTGTGTTGCTTTGCGGCTGGTTCAAGTACCCACAACAAAGGATCATTTGCCAGCCAAAGAACATTCACCTCCAGTTCGGGTCTAACGGCTTGCTTCACCTTCTGGTGAAAGACTCTTGGAAGGTTCCTTGAATCCAAAAGCGAGTAAGAAAGTTCCTTGT